AAAAGTGTGGAACAAACATTCTAGAAACATTGGCCGATAGATTTAAGGAACGAGGTAAATACAGCAAATTCAATGAGCAGGTGCCCATGTGGATCACGGCCATGGATATTTTCCACCTTTTTCACGAGGGAACACGTATAATAAAAGGTACCTCAATTATGTCTCTCCTTTTTCAGCATTTAAAAATTGAAGATTGTCTTTTAGAAGTCTTCGTTAAAAACGAAATAAATATTTTTCGATGCGAAGCTATTGATGTGAAAGCGAGACTGCCATCTTCGGTAAAGTCGCTATCAGGAAAATTCAATGACATTAATAGGTCCGAAAAAGCTAGTGTAAGTTAATTTACCACTTGCAATTATCATCCTTTGAAGATTTTTGAAGTGAAAATTGTTTCTAACGCCATGATCGGAACCATCCCTCCGTTAGGTTCAGCTGTTGTGTTGCTTATACATGCCTGCTACCGATGGATGGTGTCACCGACTCGCTTAGTTACAAATACAACATTACCAAACAAAGTAATATGGGATCGTTAGCTATGTACATAATAGAAAATTTTTATTTCAGATCGCAGGTATTTGCAAATTATTAGAAATTCTAATTTGAGATGGGGCGCCTCAATTGTTTTCTGGTTCAAAAGTGCACGTAAGTCGTTTTTTTTGCAATTTTAAGAGTTATTGAACGTTGTAGCATCATGCTATTGTCGTTGATATAAGAAATAATACTAATGATTACTGTATTTATTGTTTCAGCAACTTATATACCATTTGTACAGTAATGTCATGGTCAGCTGTCGGCAATAAGCACGCAAGCGCATGAGCACATTTATCACGTTATCAAGAGAAACATGTGCTCGGAACAGACAAACGGGATTGGATATAGTATTTTGAGAAAGTTAGACTCATTCAGTTATTTTTTAAAACTGGCAATTTTCAGTTATAAACTATATCACGAGATTGTGACTTCATTGAAAATGCGTTTCAACGCGAATCCGGATTTAATTAAGAAGTCATTTTATCGCAAAGAACTCATGAAATTAATCGAAAAACGACAAATTCAATCATCAAAATTTGTAAGTTCAACATTTTCTTTCAATATATGCAACGAATTCCTTATAGCAACGTTGTGCGTCATTCGCAGAAAAAGGAGAAAATGCGAAAAGGATTAATTGATTCATTTATTTTTTTTCTGATTTTTATTATTAATATATTCATTTCGCATTAATATTGTAATAAATGAAATGTTCATACATATTCAATTATTATGGATGTTATTACATTCTATTTGTGTGAAAATTGCTCGATAACGTATGATATTACATAATATTGGACAGAGTTTATTGAGAACAATCTAAAATTTATTGATATATTCTAAAGTTTATTGAGACAAATCTAAAACTTATTGATAAACTTTAAAGTTTATTGAGACAAATCTAAAACTTATTGATAAACTTTAAAGTCTCACAATATTCATTGAAACTTATTGATAAATTCTAAAATCTTATGAGATTTCCTAAAGTTTATTGAGACAAATCTAAAATATTATAGAGACACGTTAGCCTCTCAACGAACCTCATAAGATTTTAGAATTGTCTCAAAATATTTTTTTTCATTTGCCTGAGTCCTATATACGTATTATATTGTCACCTCATATTTAATTAAGATATGCCATATATATGTATATATATATAAATTGCCCCAAAATTATACGGCTTAACTGCCACAATTTTAAAAGTAATAAAAGAGGTAATGGTTTCTTTCCATTTCGACCCTCAATTTCACCCTTTGGCAGACAAAGTGCTTGAACGAGCCCAAACGCATACACACATAGGCACACTTCTTATTTTCGCCAAGTTTAATGTTCAAAATGTATGATTTTTCATTTTATTCTTCTTAGTTCCATTCATTATTATTTGCAAGAATTTTATTCCGACAAAAATTTTGAATGTAACTTTAATGAAAAATGCCTTAATATGAGGCATATGAATATAAAAATTAAAATATTAATTGATTTGTGAGGAAAACCGCCCACATGTTCGATTTTGAAAATATTTGACTTAGAAATGTTCTAGTCTTACTGTAGTTGTGTAGACAACGGAAATGCGATTTAGAAGTTGAATTTTATTGCATTTTCAACGTGCCGGAAAAAAAGGATCAAGATTTCATTTTAGATTATTCATTAATTTAAATCTGGCTAGTTCCAAAGCAGACTAGATAGTGCACAATTTTTTTCCTCACGTCAACCATCGGCCATTTTCAAAATCTTGCTAAATGATATTAGCAAGTTTGCGTATTTTGCGTTGTTGTAGTCATATTATTAAATATTTCACAATGCTGATTAAAGCCATTATAGTCAGCGTCCGGCGAATAATATATGCGGTGAGAGGGGGTCGATTTACGAGCACGTGCTTTTCGCTTCTTGTCTCAAACGGATACTTTTTGTATTTTATGGTTTACATATATTTTATGGTTTATTTCTCAGTTCAATAATTAAATGCAGTCAAATCTCATGTGTCGTAGTTCATAGTTGCCTGCAAATTTACCCTCATAAAGCATTTGTTAGGCTATAGATAGTTATATAAGAATATACTCTCTTTTAAGAATTTCTTATTATTTTTCCATTCAAACCGAGTAGTTGAAAACTGATTGATGAATTCAAATCCCTCATTCTTCTTATAACCACTTCACTCTTTATGACGATTCTTCATTAATTTTCAAAGATCTCAATGGATTCTTTTAGGATTAAAATGAAACGACATAAACATTACATTGATACATATTAATAGTATGAGTAAACTCAGAATATGTGTCATAAAAGCTACCAGATTCTATTAACAAGTGAAACTTATAAGAGATGTCATAAATGCCGCTTTAGTTATAGAAAAAATATATATCCCAGCTAATTACGTCTTTTCACTAACTTCACAGTCCAATAAATTCTATGGAATGTGACTTTTTTGAACATAAAAAATATCAATTCTCATCATTTTTTCTGTACAATGATTTTTAGCCAGTTGATTGACATCAAATTCTCTGACTAATTGGCTTCACGGATAACACCATAATCAAATATTTGAGCATGAGTTCACCATTTTTTTCGTTTTCTTCTTTTTCCAAATAAGACCAATTGAATCAAAAGACTAAACGGAGGGCGTAATCTTTTGAACTATTCGGAGCAATGGTCGCAGCCCACAAAGCGTTATTTTATATGTTATTCTACAAATATATTCTATATATATAGTAGCGTTATTTTTATAATTTATGAAACAAAAAAAGAAAACTATTTTCAGGTGGTATTTCATTTAGTTTTTATGAGATTTTCACCATTTTGAGTATATTAAAGTGCATACTACATTGATTATAGGGAAATTTTATGAAATCGCCTAATGCGAAGGATTAATCATATGTAGTCGCAAATTTCAAGCAACGTTGACGTATGCAAAAAATCAAAGAATTTCTAGAAAATCACTAAATTAACATCATAAATTACGCAAAATCACTTTCACTTACTTAATTTTTATTAGTATTTCCGTTCGATAGCTATCATGTTATATTTGCAATTATAATTAATCTTAATTGTTTTTAGTGACGAGAATTTTTCAAATTCTAGAACATTTGTTGGACTTTCACATTCTCAGATTTAAAAAATTTTAACTGAAGCTTTTGACAAATTTGATTCGTTATTAACTAATTACTCAATTATAAATTCATAAATTTGACTTTTCTAGGAACATTGTAATCTTTGAAATCGAAACATCTGCAAGCGAAGGCGGGTTTCGTCAAATTATAAAAGCTTCGATTGTTTTTTGTTGTCAAAATGCCATACGACGAATTCAAAAGTTCATCACACGTTTGATTTTTTGTCATATTTTAATTTCAAACAAACGGATGGCAGAAACTTTGAAAAAATCACGAGGAAATCGCCGTTGGAAACAGGCCAGCTGAAAGTTTTACGTTCTCTCCCGTCATTTAATAAAACAATGTGATTTTACCACATATTCTCAATTGTTCATTGTCTGATTCGAGACAGTTTAAAGTCTATGCTAATTAGTTTCGGAGATTTATAGAGGGAAACTTTCGCCCGAATCGCAGATATATTTCTTTTCCTAAAATTTGAACTTGATGTCATATATTGAATCGGGGAAATTCGACACGGGTGTGCAGACATACATAAAATAGTGTGCAAGTAAAAACAAAAATAAAATTAGTGAGTTTTTTTAGCATTTCATGGAGCTAAGTTGTTCAATTTTCGCTCTTTACAAATTTAAAGTTTCAGCTACAAATCGAAAGCTGTGATTTGGTAAAAGTAACTGCTGCTGCTGCTCTAAAATAAAAAATTACATTTAATTAGTGGTGCTTACCAAAACAAACTTGTCATCCCAATTTCCAGAGTATGAATCGTTATTTAAAAAAGATGCTGTAAAATATACATTGCACATGTTGATGTGTCTAATCCAATTTTTCTCGTTTTCTAATGTCCATGTTTAGTATTCTTGTATTCAAAATATTAATTCCAAGTCGAAAAATAATATTTTTCTCAGATAAACAATTCTATATTTTGGAACGCTATGTCTTTCCCTAATAGATTTGTTTGCTCATGCATTCTATTTCACCCCGTAGTTAAACAATAACTGTTACCGATTTGGGTGGTGCGATAAACGTGAGAGAGCAAGACAACAAAAAATAATGGGCGTTGCGCATCATTGAAGTGCATTTCTGCTCATTCCCACACTTCTATAACCACGCCCCTCTACCAATACTGGTTCTAGGCTTTAGAGCTGAAAATGCTGGCTTGCGTGATCATTGCGTTTTTCTGACAAGAAGCTGAAGATCATTTACGTGTTTTGTTTTAGACATGTGTTGCTTTTTAGAAGCATCGTTGTCCTATTTTTCATTCTTCCATTATCAATTTTTGAATACTCGGAAAGTTCATGCCGAATTCTCAACAATGCCCATCGAACTTCTAACCAGAAACGAACTTTGCTCTAGAATTCTCACCTTCAGATGACAACAATGGTTTTGGAAGAAAACTCGACTGATTACCAATGCGAATATCCGCCACTAGACATTTCTTTCAGCTTGAAAATCCGTGAGTTTCACACATTTCTCACTTTCATCATTGTCCAATTATTTCCACACCTAATCGAAAATACGTAAATATTCCATTTCCAGTTATAACAACAGCATATGGAGTAGTAGGCGCGATGAGTCTAATAGGAAATCTTGCTGTTCTCATCATTGTAATGTGCCGAAAAGAGATGCAAACTGTCACCAATATCTTTATAAGCAGTGTGTCTGCAGCGGATCTGGTTCGTTTTTTTATTATTTTTTGGGTATAAGCAGTCTAAATACCCAAAATCCTAAAATAAAATCACGCAAAATCCATTGACGTAGACATATTTGTCATTGATTTGCGCATTTTACACGTTTGATTGCAAATCTGGGGGAGTTCTTAACGTGAATTATAATGTCTTAATATATTCGATGGCTCGTGAAAGTTTGCTCTCGCGTTTTCTTGACCATTTCAAATGATGTGGGGGGGGGGGGCAATTTTTGGCACAGGCGGCAATTTGAGACAGACATGCATGCGGCATGCATGAACACTGTGTTCTTCGGCGTCATTTCGAGCTATTTCCATGAAAGGTTTTTGCGGCAAAAATTGCAGACATATCGTGTTACCAAACAAATATATCAAAAAAAAAACATTCCAATTAATGAAATGTAAATTGTTTCCTAAATTATGCATAAAATTATATCAGACTACTCGGGAAAAGGCATAATTATATTTTAAGGTTATCACTGGGTTCTCGCTCTGGGCCACTCCACTTGCTTATTATCAAAGAGTTTGGTACTTCGGACGTGCAATGTGCTACATGGTGTCAATTGTTCAAGTACCCAACTACGTCGAATTCTGGCTTCAATCATCATATTTTAGGGTCTTTCTCTTATGTGGGTTCCATTGACACTTGCCGCTGTTGCTTTGGACCGTTATACACTTGTAGCGTCACCATTTCAACAACCGATGAGCATTCGGTATGATTTCTATTTTGGGTTGAATTTATTTTTCCAAAAAAGTTAAAACATTGAAAAGCAGTATTGGCGTATTATGAAAATTTTAGCACGTGCCTAACAATTATTGTGGGCATTTGGCTCGGCGCATTTGCTGTTCTGACGCCAATGCTTACCACAATTGATTTTGTCGATGGATACGGACCGTGTCACGTAAGACACTACTTGATGGGAAATGTCTATTACAATTAAATGTTTTTAGTTTTGCGTCGAAAATTGGGGAGATATGCAACAATATCGTCTCTTTTATGGCTTGTCGATTCTCTTTATCCGCTCTGCTCTTCCATTGGTTCTCATCTCGCTATGCCATTGGAGAATTGCTGCGATTCTCAACTCGCAGACACGAAAGTTTAAAGCAATGAGAAATGCTAGGTAGTTGACATTTCAAATTGGTCTTTAGTCATCCGTAATTTTTAGCACGACATCGCAATCAACGGATATTCGGCGAAAGCAGAGGCTGCAAACTCTTCTTCTTGCAATGGTCGTTATTTTTGCTGCATCGAGTTTGCCCCTTGATTTGTCAAATGTGTTGCAGGACTTAACCGTGGTCTACCATGTATGGACTTCTGAAATAATAACAGTTTTATTGATTTTTTTTTACAGATCCGAGCGGTTAATGAGGAGGTGAGACATTTCATTTTCTACTTCTCTCATTGGACAGCAATGGCGGGAACACTTCTGAACCCATTGGTGTATGCTTGGTGGAACGAAAATTTCCGTCGGCAAATCAAAGCATGTGTTGATGAAATGCGAGGACAAGGCAAATTTAAAGGAGGACTTTATTCAATTGTTTCTGGAAGGTGCGATTTTCTCAAAAAAAAATATATTAATATTAAAAATATTACAGAGGTGATGAGGAAAACCAAAATGCCACTCAATCCCATCGAAGACAAACCACGCGAGTCGAAATTGGACCCAGAAGCCGCTTGCAAATCGAAGAAGATATTCAGCAGACTGACCTTTAAAAATTGTTGCCACATTTTTTCTCATCTTTTATTATAAAAATATATATATTTGCCATTATCATTGAAACCAAACAACAGTATTTTTTATATTGACACGGTAACACAGACAATAATTAATTCTTTTTAACAAGATCTCTTCCATTTATCGCCTTTTTCAATATTTCTATTAACGATTTAACGTGTTTTTTGAATAAATATTAAATATCAAATGGTACCCTTCAGTTCTGTTCCCTTTTATTTTTCACAATGTAAATTCCACAATATTTCAAAAATTTCAAGACTGTTTCACAAATTGCATTCAACAATGAACATTTATAAATCGCTATAATGTTCGAACACTGAGACGCTTATTCAGAAATACCCTTACTAATTCGCTTATCCGATTTCCTGGGAAAAAGGTCATGTTCACATGTTCTTAAAATTTTTAAAGGGCACCTGGTGTGAAATAGAGTATGAGTCAGCATTGACTTTAAAAATTTGATGTTAATCCAACCTAGTTCTATTTCGCATCGTACATAATTGTTGTCAAAACTTTTTTGATGGCGTCTATTTCAAACAAACAGTCTCTCGAACATTTTTTTTCTTTGTTAAGCGAAATGCTTAACAAACATTTGCAATGATTGTCCCTTTCCATTTTTCCTTATTTCTACATTTTTTTTCGTTCATTTTTTCAGGTGTTTGTATGCAAATCAGTTGGTGTATTATCGCAGTAATTGTCACTTTCGTGAGAACCGCCAACTCATTTCGTGATCAAATCGTGGGTGTGCGTGGAAAATTGACATGCAACAATAGGCAATTACAGAATGCCGTTGTAAAATTGATCGATAAAAATTATGTCGGTGAGTTATTCGAAATTGTTTTGAATCGTAGCATTCGTTCGCATCGGCCTAAATACTTAAAATTTATTGAATAAATTTCATTTCGAGCTAATTGTTTTCCATGAAGCCAATTTTTTTGTGAATTGGTGCTGCAAAAACATCACGGTGTTTTGCATATTGGCAAAAAATTCACTAGAACCCAGGATAACATCTAGATATGCAAATTCGGTATCAGATTTTTTCGGAGATAATTCAACAATCCTCATTTCCGTTTTTGATGGATTCATGAGAAGGTTTGAGCGCATAATAGAAAATAAAACTTGGATATTTTCCTGATTTCCTTTACTATTGTTTATTATATATTTTTTGTCTGCCTGTTATGCAATAATTGAGCATTTCATTATTTGTGTGTAGTCTGTGTAATTAATTTTGTGCCACAACACTCCAAATTACGTGTGGAATTTGAAATATTTGAATTAAAATAGGTCAATAAAAGTGTTTACTTGAGAACTTGAAGAAATTCGCATTAAAAATTGGTGTGAGGGATATCTCGATTCTGTTCTTTCTTGCAAAACGTTAAATTGAACATTCATATTTGCTAATCTCTTAAAAACAGGATGCGGCGCCACGAAAACATGAGAATGGCATTCAATTTGTGTTTAACTGCATGAATCATGATTCTATTTTATTGTTAATCGGTAGCAAAGCAAAACTTTTTATGAACCTATGTATTGATACTCAAAATATTCATTGAAATGAAGATTTAGTCAAAAATAAAATTGAAATGTGCTCAAATGAACAATAATTTTCGTTTATTGTGAAATGTGAAATATTCCTAAAAGTTTTCAAAGCTCTTGCGAATAAGTAATATATTGTTTCAGGCCCCGATGTCATTTTGGCTGAAAACTTTACAGATTTCATGGGAACCTATGAAATCGTTGGGCGAGGACGCGGATTGTTCGAGATGAATGTCTTCATTCGATTTATTCACGACTGTGATGATAGTTTAATTGTAAGATTTCTATAATTCAGAATATTATTTTGTGACCATTTTTGTAGCCTTGTCAACGTTCCCTAACGCTAAGGGTTCCATCAACCTATATTACTCGCAAATCATACGTCGAAAAATACTTCGAAGCTGGAAATATGAACATGGCGTTCCGGTATCCTGATGAACAGCGCCTTTGTAGGCAAATATAACGGTTTTTCTATTGCCATTTCTCTTTGAATAAAACATTTTATGATAGATCACAGATATATCGACAATGACATGATTGGGAAGTCAAAGAAATTTGGAGAGTCGATTCCTATTTTAACATTATAGAAATAATTATGAAAAACACCAGCTGACATCACAAGGACCCTTATAGACTTTTAAACATTTTTTTCATTCATTTTTTGACTTTTAGTGATTGAATAACAAATATCAGTTCAAAAATTTGTGGTGGCATCTTTGGTTGCTGTCTTGTTCGGTTTCTTTGGCGATTTTTCCACCCTCATCTCATATTTTCTTGCTGAGCTATCAGAATCCTGAATACAACTCTTTTGAAAGCTTTTGTAATCAGCTTTACATTTTTGTCTGATGCTCCTTTTCTTGGCGGCGACATTGAAATTCTGAATCGAGGAGGTCGCGGGGTCTGAAATTAGTCATGGATGGTGCAAAATAATTGCATGATTTCACTCACACTTGGTTTGCTACCAGGTGACTCCTTCTCACGTTTCAATCGCTTCAATTCACGAGGTGAGTGTGGAATTGGGGGTCTGAGAATGAACACCTCACGTGAAAAGTTAATATTAAAATTTGCAAACCGGTCAGGTATAAGTCGTCCTTTCTCGTCATCCGTCGTCTCATCAGTAGAAAGAAATTCGTTCATAATTGGGGACATCATTGCGGACGTATAACTAAAACTCAAATTCCAATAAAATTCGGTTTAGGGAAAATACCTGCTGTGTGGATTTGTATTTAACCATAGTGGATCCTGACACCCTCCGCCTTCAGCCAGTGATAAGTCAGCTGATGGTGGTCTTGTTGGATCTTGTGAAGTTGATTCAGCCAAAGTTCTGAATATTGGTTGTGCTTATTACAAAAATTGTAACAATATGTCCTACCCATATCGAACATTATGAGACGTATAAATTGGTTGCAATAATCGCTTTGCAGCCTTTTTTTCTATCGAAGATGATTGTTGATTTGAACTTCCGGAACTTCCAGATGAACTCCTGTAACGACAAAAATTAGAAATGATTTTAATGGAATGTCGATCTTGCTTTTTCTCAATTTTAATCGGCGTGACATAAGTGTGAAGTGGGTTTTCAATAATTCCCCTAAAGAATAAAAAATTATTAATAAAAATTATTGCAACATACATTGGCTGTGTATCTGAATTAGAAGGCACCGTCGTTGATTTTGACGATCCTGAACCGGAGTTCTGTTCAAATGATTGAATGGCAGTGCGATAGGAAAGATCTCGGTTGCTTGTTCTTCTACTAGTAGAACTGCGTTTACTGGGAACTTCTGATCTTTCTCTGGAAGCTGGACGAGAACAAGAAGGGGAAAGGAGATAGCGACTTTCGGAATTTCTAAAACATTGTTTTTTTTTATGTTCTAATAAATTTAATCGCACCTATGATCATTTTCCTCGTTTTCGGAATCACTTTCAGATCCAGATGAGCTATTTTGACTTGGATAACCTTCTTCAAGTATCACATCTCTATCAATATTTCTCATCCTACATATCATTTGATTTCTTCTGATATACGCTTTATCAAAGTCACCTTTTGATATCTTTCCAACCAATGCAAACCAGGAGGGTTTGCAAAAACGTGGGTTTCGGCGGGTTCGATGAGATATCCGACTGCGTCTCTGAGCATTGTTCTTCTTCTCCTGTGCTGTGATCAACCTCCGAAACCGATCTAGATAATTAATCATTGTGTTTTTTTATCCCGCTGCAAATTACCCAAGAGATGGGACAAATGCTCGTCCTGAAACGCTACGAGCTGTCGATTTATGATACGATTGCGAATCATCGTCGGACGACGTTTGTTTTGCATTAATAACTGGAGGTTTCGGTTTTCGTTTTCCGAAAACACTAATGCTTTTTCGTTTTTTACCGCCAGCTAGTTCGAAAATTTTTTTCTTTTCTTCGGTTCGCTCCTGGAATATGAAAAACTATACAGCACACATATTATAAAATCATACAAGCATAAGCTGAATAGATAGATCTTGATTGGCATCTTTAAGTCCAGAAACAAGTGCAATCAAAAAGTAAATGGCTAGCCTGAAAAAGAACACGTCGATTGTACGGAATTACGTTTTGTTAAACTCACAATAGCAAAACTAATACTGGTATAATAATACCAGGAGAAAGAAGATATTTGATAACGGAAACCAATCTTGGATCCAAATTTTCATGAAGAACATCAGTAATGACACTATAGAAAAATGGCTGGTTTCTGAATAACACAGCAATGGTTTTCATTCTGCGAATTTTTTAATTACCCAAATGGCCCACAACTTTTACTCGGTTGTTTTGATGCAATCACAAATCCGACTGGAAGTGTACAAAGGAACAGAAATAAAAGTAGAAGCGAAAAGAAGAAGTTAGACGATCTGAATTTGTAATTTATTTGTTTGTCATTCGTTTCTTGATTGTAATTATCAATTATTTTCCGTGTCATTCCTAAAAGTATTGCGAAATCACATTGTGTATTTCGCATTGTATTTATTGGTATTACGGAGACTGAGACTGGTCAGACAGTCTTTTCATCGCACAACTACTGCATTCGCCATCCAGAAACATGTGGCCGAATGGTCTAGTGGTATGATTCTCGCTTTGGGTGCGAGAGGTCCCGGGTTCAATCCCCGGTTCGGCCCACTCGTTTTTTATTTTATTTTTCAGCATTGAACAACTTACCGACTTGCTCGAAATATCTGACTAGCTGGCACATTACATGTCATAGCTGCCCAGCCTCGCATGTACATTAGAATAATTAGCTTGATGTTGTTGAGCATAGGAAGAAGGGGAACAAAGAATAGTCCCAACCAAATCATTCCTTGATTGTTGACCAAATGAAGAACATTTTCAGCTACTTTAAATTCTCCGTACTCCGGCTGAAATCGGTCAAATATGGCATAATCATTTCGGAATTCATTAAATTACAAATGTTCTCTCTAAATCCCATGGCCAGAAAAAGTTTAAATATCTGCATGCAAGTCCTCTAAGGAAGTCAATCAGGAAAATCGAAGCGACCGTCATGTACAAGTCCATCGTAACAAGCTTGGTTATTTCTTGTCCGATAATTGTCTCCCAACACAAATCTTGGTATTGCATTACTCTCCACGACGATCGAGTTATTGATGAGCGGCTCCTGGAAAACAAGATTTAATGGGCAATAAAAGAGACCAAACAACATACATTAAAGTGTTCAAAATATTAGTGCTCGTGTCATTCCAGTCAGAATTAGGCCCAATTTGATGAGTCACAACAAGTGGTGTTTTCAAAATAGTCTCATCTTTTGTTATGACGACTTTTGGGTTGTATACGCCAAACGGCCCAAAATCGGGAAGGACTGTTGTCCAAGGACTAGTGGGAATCGGGGATGTTGTTGGAGCAGCTGTGGTAGTGACCGGAACATAAGAAAAATAAGTGTGTGGTGTATTATTAACTGGGTACATTGGTAGAATGACTTGTCGAAGAGTTCTAAAATCAATCAAATTTTTGAATAAAATCGAATTGGTCAAACCTCAAAACTTTCTCTGCATCTGAAGAAGTCACAGTAGAAGGGGCATTATTCAATTCATTTTGTATAGCTTGCCGCTGTTTTTCCAAATGTTCCAATTGGTACATTAAAGAGTAAATCAAAGTGTAGTAATTAAGAATATACAAAACCAGAACTCTGAAGTTTAAGTTTATATTTCATTTTATCATATCTGTTGGTTTACCTTCCCAATTGGAACCTTAATGCATTTCTTGGATGAAGCTTCTCAATTTTTCCAAGTAAATCAAAAATATTGGGAAAAACCAGGGTAATCAGTGAAATTGTTATAGCTGTTGCATTCTAAAATCAAATAATATTCTCCGAAATTTCAGATTTTTCAAACCTGTTCCACAAAGCTTTCTCCGTTTAATGAAGCGCATCTCATAATGGCCCAAATTGAAAATGTGTACATTGCCAAAATTGCAATATTTGTGAGAAATCTCAACAAAAATCTGATCCATGGATGTTTTTCGTTAGGCTTCTTCGAATCGTCATTAATTGCTTCTCGAAATTTAATAATATTTGCCATATACACGTTTCCAGCTGTTTCAGCGTTTCCAATCGTGTAATCCCATCCTGTGAACGCTTTCCAGTTAAATAAATATTGTTGCGTTTTTCCAGAAGACAAATTGCCGCGACGCTGATTCAAAGCCATTCTGAAATTATGAACTTTAGAAAATTAAAGAATTTGAATGCTCACTTTCTCAATATAATAAAAAGTGAAAATCCTAAAACAAATATATTGCAGAGAAAATATGCAACCGGAACTCGATATTTTATAGTTTCTCCAAAAAATGTTTCTCTTGAATAGAAACCATAAAAAAGTAACGAATATTGAAAATATCCCTGAAATTGAATTCCGATTAATATATTCTTTTTTGAGATGACTCACTCCAAAATCCCATACAGTTGATAGTTCATCAGCCCTTTCACGCACTGATTCTGGCATTACTTTAATTATTTTTGTGCGATTGTATCGCTCGGATCCCTCGACCATTCGGGAATCAGCGAGCCACTGGAATGAATTTTGATTGAATTTATATATGTATCAGTTTAAAAAAAACCTCTGGAATGACTACGAACAGACACATGATTAATGTGATGGCAATATTAACACCAAGAACCCATCGATGAAAAGTGAAATATGAAGATACAACAGAACCAAAGTGACCTGAAATTATCGTTATGCCAAGGAGAAATATTCTTGAATTTAATACTTTCTATTTTTCGAATTTTTGCTTCCCATGGTATCAAATAGATTTTTAAATTATCTAGCCATCGGCTAGCTTGATTCAACCTCCTTCCTGCTTCTGCTTTATATAAACGAACTTTTGACACTTTTGCCTCCTGCTGTTGCAAATGCTTTTGAGCAACTCTAAATTATATTATAATGCTAAAGTTTGACTATTTTTATATTTTACCTTAATGTTCGTCTTTTTCTTTTCATACACCATGGTTGCCCGCGAAGCTTCTGTATTATTTCTTTCTTCTGTTGAATTTTTTTCAGAATTCGATCTTTTGATGCTTCTTTATCTGACTCTTCGTCGAATTCATCATCATCGCTGTAAATATTTACTTTTTTTTCTTTTAAACTTATTCATGAAATTATCATACTCATCATAGTTCATATTTCCAAGCCGTGTATGCGGGCGAACCAATACACTCGATGATCGGCGAAATAATGACAGCAGATCGGCCTGAATTTCAGAGTGCATCAATAATAAAACAAAAATCGTGATAAACATACAATAACCGACGAACGCCTACTCATGCGACTTTCGATCTCTTCCTCGGATGTCAAGTTGCCGTCGGTGAAGGATTTGACAGATTGGCCTGTCTCCCCACCATCATCGGCATCATGCCGGACAAGAGGCTGATGAACGCCGGTTTTTGGCATTGTGTTCTTGAATCGTCAAAGTCGTTCCGTCGCCGAACGACTACTGCCTATGCCGAGCAATGATGATAACAATCTGTTTTTCGAAATATTATTAATTACAATGCTATCGCGAAATCGGCAGATTAATTAGCGGAGCAAACTTCGGAAAACGAGACGAGGCCCGATGACTAATGATGTTACAGTAGAATTCGTATCATTCAACGTTTTTTATCTTCTCATCTCGTATGCGCTACGTTTTTTGTTTCATGTGAAACAACGTTCGATGTGAGATCTGACGTGTTTTGTTTTTGTTAACCACTTGTGTCAATCTACTGAGCATCAGCTATTATCTCAACTGGCTACGAGAAAATGAAACAAGATGTGCGGCCGGACCAATAGGCACAGTCCGATAGCGGTGACACTAGACAATTGTTGAAAAGTGATTTGTCGCAATCACAATTGATTGAGAAACATCCACTGTTGGAGAAGTATAAAAATTATAATGATCAAAATGTGAGCCATTACAAAACTTATTTGAGGAATGCTCAAACTAAAAAATAATACATAATGTGAAAAAAAATATGTTTTTTAAATGCGTTTCTGAGGTTTATAAAAGTTTTGCTCATTATGTTTTTAACTAGTTTAATTGGAATTTGAAGGACAAATAAAAAATCAAGTCGAGCAAAGATGTAATGCAAATGATCTGCTACATGCTCTAGTACTACAAAACGATTGGTTAAGCTGAGCATGATTTGAAGAAGTAATTGTTAAAAAAATATATAGGCGTGCAGAAACTTTAAGCAGATCATGAATACAAACGCATAAATGAGTATCAATTATGAAAAAAATTAGAAGGGAATTTTATCGAGCTTTTGAACTGACGTCGCACAAATTGCGATGAAATTCAATACTTGAACTTGTCGAACTCAATAGAAAATTAGAACATGAAAAGAGAAAATACTACAGATGTGAATCAAAATCGTAACAAATAAAAAAATGAAAATATGATATTCAATTAGCAGTCGTCGTACTATTGGGTTATCACAATCAGTCAGTTTTGTCGGACGTTGAGGGCCGTTCGTGCAACGTTTTTTTTTTCTTTCATTTAGCGCCGTTGCTGTGCTGTCAGGGTTAGATCGACAAATGTCTTGCAAAGATCTCAATGAACTTGTAATAGAAACATTTTTTTCATTAAATATAAATGATTTGATAACCTCATAACCAAACTGATCTGATTCCATTTCCAATATATTGATTTTTATTTATTAAAAATTAACATTACTAAGCGATTCAATTAATTTTATAGATAAATTCTCTTAAGACTTGTAGGTAACAATTTGACAAATTAGTAGTTTTCAATAATAAAGCGTTTAATTTGATTTAAAATATAAATAAATAATATTTGCTAGGATTTTGAGAAAGTGCTGAACAATTTACATTTGTAATGGATTTTCCTGGTTTTAATTGAACACATGTCACATTCACCCACTCATCAAATGAATAATTAAAAAAAGGTAAATCATAAAATGAATGACGCAAAATGATGAAGACTATCATTTAACCGAAGGGGAGTGGCAATTTGGAGCACACGCGGCAACTGTCTCATTCTATGTATTAATCTGCTCCACCGGCGAATGAAGCCACACGGAGCCTACCTAGAACATATTTTTGTGTGGCGCTGGCTACGCTCACAAGAGATAGACCACATAACACCAGTTGTGACATGAATGTTACATGTACTCGGGTGATATACCAATTATATGTGTCATGATTTGTCAGAAAAAATTGATCCGAGAAATGCGTCTAAATTGAAACGACAAAAAGTGAGAAGAAGTTTACTCTGAGCAATCATTTTATGAATTATCAGTAGAGCAAGTAACAATAGATATTCTGAAATTTCTTGATTAATATTTTTGTAATGGCTATTAAAATTCATAGCTCTATGAAAATTATTTGTTCGCAATTCGTATCCATTTAACTTATTTCATGTTCGTTCGATTTTTGAAATTTAACCCGTGTAGCATCAAATATTGAAAATAATCAAAACAGTATAGTTTAAAAGTTATGCACATAATATCTGAAAAACTACGACTCATATCCATTAAATGGAAATGTGGTCATCAATGGTCTCACAAAAATGAGCTTTTTCTAATTCATTGCGTCTAACATGTGTTGTTCTTTTCAAAGAAAAACAATTCCCAGACTCCTAAACCACCGATTTTTATATCTGCGGAGATTAATGTCCGCACAATTCCCGATCGGAATTGGCACACTTCGAGAGCACAAAAAAATGAGAGGAACATTTGTGGCGGCGAGGTCAGACTGCAATATTATTCGACTCGTATGAATTGATTGGTAATTGCAACGATTGCACAAAATGAGTTCGAAACATATATAATTAAAATCAGACACCGAAAGGTGTGAGTATTACACCGGAACACAGCATAAAACGAGTTGATTCAGGTTGGCAGTGATTGGTGGCGTTTACACCTCACGTTCTCCCGCTCACCGACGCCATTCTCTTCTTTAGCTGTTGCCAAGAATGTTTTCGCCTCGCCACTGTTGCACACAACAACACCGGGTGCATATGCTTACCGGAAACTCGCTATCAGACGAGCCGCAATGTGAACGCAACACATTCGTCCAATTTATGAGATGTCAAGTTTCATTAGAAAGACCTTGAACGAATGGGAACAAGTTTGTGAAGAAGCCGCCATCTTGGATACATTGGAACCTTTTGTAACAAACCTATGGATTTTGTTACGAGAAAATATTAAAATTAATAATTGTAATGCTTCTTTTATAAAAATCAGTAATTCGCATAGTTATGGTGTTATTCATTCAATTTTTTCTTTTTGAAAGAAAAGTCGTAGAAGATAAGCTTCAACGAACAGCTGCGTGATTTATGGAGGTTACGTTTATTAAAACATTTACCAGACTTGCATTTTACAATTCTCATTTTTAATTATTTTGACAAAGAATGGGATTTGAATTTCCAAAAAAACATTTTCTGAAATTAGGCGAATACCTGAAAATTTTCGTACGCAAAAATTCTCAAGCACTCATATTCTCTTATATCGTTTATCGTTTGAAACGATTATTTTGATTCACTTTTTTTAAACTGATTTCTATACTCTGTGTTACATTAAATATGAATACAATGAAAAATTTCCCACCAGCTCAATTGTTTCCCATTTTGATATTTTTCAATTTCATTGATTTTGGTATTTTCTCATGGAACGAAGCATCCATATTATAATTGGCGGTCGTTTTAAAAGAACGACGAAATGGAGTATGGGAACCATTTTCATCGGTGAAAATGAGCAATGACGAAAAACGGTGTGAAAAATTTCAATTCTTCTATTCTCCACCTTCTCCAATGCAACCACACAAGAAGAAATTCCAGGACCTGTAAGATCATATGAAAATATTTACTATGTAAAATTATATTTCAGAGTTGTTGAGGGAGTTCAAGAGTTGATTAAGCATCAAGCAGATAATGAGCTTCCGCGCAAGAAAACCTACGACAACATGAACAAAAAAAAGAATGAGAAAGACACGTACTCAAAAAATCGCAAAACGTTTGATAAATAAGTACGTTGTGTTGTTTATCGTTAATAAATTGTTCCTATATATTCATTTGTATGCATTGTTTTTTTTTAAGTTTTTTTTTTTTGCATTTTTAAGGTTTTTTGAGTTTTCTTTATTAGACCAAACAATATTCAAAATAAACCAGATTTAAATCGAAAAACATTTAGTTAAAGATTATAACTTCTGGAATTTTTGGTTTGTTTGTTTTTAACCAGAACGGAATTTTCAAAATAGTTAAGCACTATCATTAAAAAAAATGAATAACTTTATAAGTAATATGTAAGTTATAAAATTGCACGTCATAACTTTCTTAAAATTTAGTCAATCGATCTGAAATTTTTAATACAAAACATATAGTCTCTTCCCAAACATAATTTTTTTTGGCTACCGCAGAAACAATTACGGTGTTTGTGATCCTTCTTCATGTCTTTTCAAAATATGATTTTTTTTTAAATTTTAAATTTTCCGATTTTTTTGCATGTTAATAAAAATAATCAAAAACATATCATTTGGGCGTTCTGAAGGCAATCGCAATTCCGGTTCTACCTCCGGCCATTGATTGTATAATTATAAGAATCAGAAAGAGCAACACGCGACAATCAGCTTTCGAGATCAACCAATAAGTATGTCAGTTGTATGTCTTGGGTTTTCCAAAAAAACATAATTTTTTTCTTCAAATGTTTCGACACTCTAAATCGTCATTTTCGTGGTTCTGGACCATATGGAAGTAATACTTTCAAAAAACCGCTCATTTGGGTGATGAACCGCTGCACCCGATTGAAGCATTAAACGTTCCTGGGAATGTTTTACTGCTGCTCGAGTTGGACTACTTCATTGAAACGAAGGAAATATGGATCGTTTAATGTATAAAGTCATTCTCGAGAACAATACGTTTCGTTTGCAAAATCTTTTTCAAAACAGCAAAAATGGTCCCGAAAAGTTGTGCAGCTAAGGGGAACCTGGATGAATATTGCAAACTCAACAGTTGTCTATGGGTCGTCGATATTAAGTTGTTCAAATGGCATATCATCAAGATAATTGAATTGTTTTAAGTTTCCTGACAGATCCCATAAAAAATTAGTTTTCTCTCTCTCGCTACCGATTAACGTGGTCCAACAATTTTTAACTGTTTGGATTTTTTTTCGGAAAGTCATGACTAAAAAAATCGAAATTGTATATCTTACTGCACGGTACTTTGTGTTTATATGAATATTAATTGTTTTTTCAACGTGACAAACAAAACATGCAAAATTGTGACTCCATAAGAACTTCACAAATATTATGAATTACACGAAAACTTTCTTTTTCTTTTAAACTCAATTTTTGAGATTTGCTTTTTATCAATCTGCAATTATGGTTTTTTCAAATGTTTGTTTGAACTTTATTATGAAAATTAATTTACAATTATTTTCCTGCTAAAAATTTGTTGGTTCTCATTCACTGAGCAACAATAATCTCTTCTGCCATGTTGCGAGTCACACGGAATCCCCACATTCCAAATCCGCATAAAACATTTTTTTCACATTTAATAGTCATAAAATCAATACCGAATATTATTACATATAGAATAGTAGGCGTTCCATAATGTAATTTTCTACTATCGTTGTGTTATTTTTTTTTCTTATTGATGTATAGAAGAAAAATCAATAAAACTCGTTCTAAAATAAAACAGACAAAACGACATCTTATGGGTTTTATTCCTAGGAGACGAACCATTCTAAAACCAATTGCTTTAAGAAAAATATAACATTTATAAGACGAAGATTCTTAGTACTTTAATACGAAAAAAAAAAACTTTGTTAAGTGTAAAAAATTCGATTTGCGACGTTGTACAAACATATAAATAATATCTCTTCATGTGAGGGAAGTAGAAAATGTTTTATTGCCACAGGCAATTTGTTTGGCTCTTTTGAACAAGAATTGTTTTAAGCAATTTGCGGTTGCTATTTTATGCTTCCACATTTTTTTCTTTTTTTTTGCCAGCTGTCCTCTTTCTTGTCAGTTTTTCTTTACGAAAATTTCTCATAGTTCATTCTTATTCATACAGCCGAATATCAAAGATTCATCTACATAATAACAGGTGGTGCCGCCAACAATTCTGTTGAATTTTCGCGTTTCTCTAAACACCACGTTGCTAAACGCAACACCTCTGCGCTCTCTAGCCTCGCTATGCATCTCATTTTCTAGTGTACTATAAACTCTCTCGTGGGCCAACTAACTAATTGTGTCGACATATTTGGCTCACTCATTAATTCAATTTTTTATAGGTCAATGCGTTGGGCTCCATTTATAACATGCAGAAATCAACATTAATTTTCATCATATTTATCACATGTTTTTTAATATGGGCATTATACGTGGAAAACGACATTGTAAAGGTGAAGTGATCAAAATCGATCATTATATAAATTGTAATTTGCAGAACACTCCAAATTTAAATGACATTGAGGAATTAATGGAAGCTTCAAAGCGTTTAGAAAGAATTTTGAAATATGAGAGTAAAACGATTAAAAATTTGGAAAAGCAAATCAAAGATTTAAGTTATATTGGACGACAAGAAAGAATACAATTTGAAAATAAGGTAAATACTTCATTATTATAAATGTTAATAATTAATTAAAAGACACCAAATGATGAACGAAATTGGATTGAGCCAATTCCTGTTTTGGTATTCTCCTGCAATCGTGTACTGGCAATCAAAGAGCATATCAAAAAACTAATAAAGTAAGTATCTTTGAAATATTCACTAAACAGTTTAGACTGTCAATGATTGATATAGGTAAATAGGTTTTTTCAAAGTTATATTTTTTTTGAATAGAAAATCTAACTTTGAAAAACTTTCGTAATAACAAATATATATAACTGATAACAAAAAGCCGTAGCTAAAACTGTCAAACAATAGAAAAATGCCTAGAATTACGACTGTGCATAAAATAATTGAATAATAGAAACATTTATCGTATAAGCAGGACAAGAACGTTTTCCGTCGATGAAATATCTCGAAATAAACGCGTATAAACATGAACAGATGTTCACCCGATGGCCACGTCTCGTACAAATTATGTCAAATTTATTCAGATATCGGCCAAATAAAGAAATGTTCCCGATAATTGTGTCGCAGGATTGTGATAATGAGGGTGTTAGAAAGGAAGTGCAATCATTTGGTGATGAAGTTCAATACATAAAGGTACTAACTGGATTTTATCTTTAATCTCCATCATTTTACTTCCAGCACCTTGCCGGAGACAAAGCTAACATCACAATTCCACCGAATCATAGAATGTATACTGCATACTATAGAATATCTCGCCATTACAAGCTAGCGTTGGATTACGTTTTTGAACAAAAAATGTATAGTTCCGTGATTATAACCGAAGGTTTGTTTCAAAAATTTCTACAATTAAGCAAATAGTACAATTTAGATGATCTTGACATTGCTCCGGATTTTTTTTCGTACTTTTCTGCCACGAGATACCTATTGGAAAAGGATTCCGAACTGTGGTGCGTATCGGCTTGGAATGATAATGGAAAAGTGAGTTGAATAATTTGCTGAAACGAATATTAAATAGACGAGTTCAGCCTGAAAATATTGATCTCAATGCTACTTCAGTTCTTTATCGAAGTGATTTTTTCCCTGGACTCGGATGGATGATGAGAGCGTAAGCAATTCTTTTATTTTTTTATTTGCAATTTTGATGTCGACATAATCAAAAAGTGCATTAATGATATTTATAGAAACACGTGGAAGGAGTTGGGACCGATATGGCCTTCAGGGTTTTGGGATGATTGGTTGAGAGATCCTCTACGGAGAAAAGTAGGATAAATACTAAAGAAGCAACATCAAAATGAGAAAAATAATCTCAGGATAGACAATGCATTCGACCAGAAATCAGCCGAACAGGAATGACCAACTATGGAAAAGAAGGAGCAAGCAAGTATGATTTTTGAGAAAAACTGTTTAGAAGACATAACCATCATTTGAAATCTAGAAGCGCATAGTTTTTGTACACTATGTATGAGTTTTTTTTTTCAGGGGTCAGTTTTTCAATAAACATCTTGCAAAAGTTAAAGTTAATACCAATCCGGTGTCATTTTCTAAAATCCAACTAGATTATCTTCTTCCGGTAAGTAAATTATCGTATCTCGTTTTGTAAATGATAGAGTTCAGCAAAACTACGAAGAGTATTTCAAACGTGAAGTTTTTGAAATGTCTCAGCTGATGAAGATTGAAGATGTTACGCAGTTTGTAATGAATCCGGCAAACAAAGGAAAGAAAATTAGGTATTTTTGCTAAAAATAAAAAAAAATATATACAACTGAAAACATAGGGTGATGTATACCGGCAACATCGATTTCATAGAGAAAGCCGATCGTCTACATATCATGCATGACTTCAAGGTATTTTTTCTTGACTAATGCAATTAATGGAAAGAAAATACATTATTTGGGCTAGTAATGTAGTTTTTTGGATACCTCTTCTTGAAAACGAAGTGCAATGTATTAAAAATTTGAGAAATAGTTTGAAACTGAACGAATGTCGCAGCGATCGATGAAAAAGGCAGAGAGCAAGAAAAGCTTATGAATAAAAACTAATTAAACTTGCGTGTAAATTCGGCCATCGCTCAGCGGTTTCGTCCAGGATGAAAGCAATATATTCTATCTTTTTTTTGTCTTCGTTCTTTTTTCGCAGAAATTTTTTAGTATAACAATCGTTTTCAATCGTTATTAAACAGTTCAAGAAATTTTCAAAAAAAGTAGTAAAAATAAGCCATTAATTTTAGGCAGGCGTTCCCCGGACTGCATACGACGGTATTGTGACATGTTTTATTAACGGCGTTCGAATTTTTCTTGCCCCTGATAGAAACAAAGTTCCAAAATATGATCCAACGTGGAGTGTTCCACCATCTTATGGAGAATAAGTGTGAATTTAATGAAAATTTCTTAGTATTTCGGTATATTTTTATAATACGGGTTGTATTAAATAGTATATTTTATTCTAGATTTATAGCTTTTTATATGATTGGGTCATTCATTTATACAGCAGTGATATGGTTTATCATTTAAATTGTGATTGATTATTTGCAGTTGCCTTTCTCTTTTTCCTTATTCAACATATTACAACATCAGTTTTTTTGGTATTTTTTTATTTATCTGGTCTTGTTTATTTTTGCTGATTTGCTAATATCCCTTAATATCGCTTCAAATAATAATTTATTCAGGGAGAATGAATTTAACGCAATATTATTGTTTACAACAAGAGCGCCGACTCGTTCCGAAAACACCCGAATAATGCTCACAGATTGGAGATGAATATTAGCGTTTCAGTATTCAAAATATCATACGATTTGGGGATATTTCATCTTGCGAAACTTTTTGATGCACCTAAAATCGTTTTTAATACATAAATAATGATTTCTGGGTGTCACTGACTTCTTTCATTAGATTTAAGGTTTCGTCAAGTTGCGATATAAATAAAAAGTCAATGTAAACCACATGAGTTGACCATAATAGGGGGCCCACAAGGAGAACCATCATGAAGCAGCAAGTCATCAGTGCTGAAACAAATCACATATTTTATATAAAACTATAATACTTACAATAATCCGTAGCTATATACAATTCATCAAGTGGCATTCTGATGATTGTTGAAATAAAAATGTGCGGAATAAATATTGCGATAATGAACAGTATAATGAGTATGAGATCGTACACTAAGAATACTAGCTGTAAAAATATCCATATGTTATTTAATAGAAATTTATATTTATACCTGAAGAATTACAAATGGAATTAGACACATTTTTGATCCTTTGAAGGCTCCGTAAATTAGGAAAAATGATACCCATCCTAAAGATCCGCACTATTTTGTAATTATTATTGTAGCAAACTATTACCTAGTATTATCACAGCGAACATTACAGATGTGGCATTACCGAAACAAGAAATAAAAACGATGATCAATAAGTAAAATGGAATCGTCATGATACTTATGATTCGAGAAAGAAGAACCACGTGGATTCGCCTACCGCAATACGTAAACGGGTCATATTCGTAATTCTGACGAATTTCGGTTTCTCGCTTTACTTGTAAAGGTTCTTCGGATATAAAGCATTCACTGAAAATTCGATTTCAAGTTGAGCATTTCTTACAAATAGATTTATACATATGATGATCGCTTGAAGATGCTGGAGTCTCGCCATTCATATCTGGAGTCGAGTTAGCCCATTACAATGTGAGCACCTTAAAAATCATATTGATTTTAAACATATGCGTAGAAAATATCAAAACGCGAAATGCAAAGCAAACTATGTCTAATTGTTTAATAAGAACATATTTCTTATAGTGGTAAACGTCGGCAATAAGAAGTATGAAGAATTTTAAGCTTTTTGCAATATATATATATATTTATAGAGTTTTGAGAAACGAGAATCGGTTCTCGACGAATGATGTTTTCCGAACAACTAAGGATTAGAAAGTTTTTCGAAATTTATTCGAACACAACACCATTTTAAGTTTGAAAATATGTTCAAAACGTCAAGGTTAAATTTTAAACTTCGAATTATATTCAAAGAAGCGCATATGACTCAAACTTTGAATCAAAAGTTAATGCGTGCATAAAACATGGCATATCTATATTTCGACCGAATCAAATTTTATCGTGGGGAATGCGAAAAAACTCGACGGCTCTAGTTGTATGTGTATGTTTCGTGTGACTTTTGGAAGAAATCAAATTACTTATTCATGGATGTAGTGAAAAAATAAGTAGACGAGAATAAAACTTCAAACGTATTATATAAAGTTGCCTTATTCATTTTATGAATAATATTTTGAAAACAAATTTAAACGTGGAAACTTTTTTGTAATGTTTTTACATTCAAACTGATCAAATTAACCAGTTTGAAGAAATTTTTTTGCCTTGTAATATTTAGACGTACATAACTTGTGTTATGAGCCTGATATTCTCACAAGAGTATATCAATAAAATGTAAAAATAAAAAACTTTGATTGAAATTTGTCACTGTTTCAAAAATGGAATGATTCAAGCGAAAATGAAACATTTTATTTTCAATTTGTCGGCTTAGTCACCACAACATTGCCAAATTGAATCGGGGGTCGAATACCAAACGAATAAGAACAATAGAAGAAACCAAAAACGAGAAAAATTCTTATTTTCAAGAAATTAGCCTGTTCGGGTCGCACGCTTGTCTCAAAAATAAGAGAAGACAAATAATTTGATGAAATGTCAGTCACAAAAATTCCGGATGCGAACGTTTTTGTCATGTATGCTTATTAGAGCAAAGTATATATTTAAACTTTTAACAAATACTCTGGAAAGTAGTTATTTCTAAAAATTGCAACAAAACAAACGTGCATTTCTTTCAGAAATTCTTTGTTTATGGTAAAAAGGAAACGAAAATCAGCAAGTGGAAGTAGACCTTCCTATGCTGAACTATAGTGAATGCAGAGACACAACTAATACGCGCATATGGTTCCAAGAGTTGAAGTAGCAAGTATGTTTAGGTCTGTTATTCATGGCATGGATTACAATGAGAAAAAAAACAGAAATAATATTTAGAGAAAAGATCTCATCTTTTAAAAATAGTTCATTGAATACATCTAATTTCATGTGATGAAAAGCTAAAACAAGCATATAATGTTACCTATAACAATGTTTTTCAAACGTTTTTCTTGTCTTTTGTTGTTTCATTGTTGGTAATTTTAGCCTTGTCAACATCTTTTGTTTTGAGCCATGAACTCATATTATACTATTCACTTAAATATCGACTTCCTTGTGTACGCTTGGCTAGGTTTCAACCTCCCAAAGTGTTGCCTTCGGCCAAAAGTTGAAAACCAACACCGCTGAAGTTCACACCAGGAAACCAGTGAACATTTAGTAAAAGTTTCTGGAAGTTCATAATTGGACAATTGAGTATTTTGCTTTATCTCTAAAATATCAATAATGAATTTTATTATGTATGTATTCATCATACGCAATTGAGAAAATGCGAAGTTGATGGTAGATAAATGAGGTGACTGCTTAAATTTTAACTTATATTTCTGGGCATCTCATTTCAACTGTTTGTTTTTTTTATACAAATAGTAGTCTATCTCTCGTTCTACCTAACTTTTTTTTTGCTTTTGAGTATCAGTCTTGTTATGTTATTCCGCTTACAACAAGCCTTATTAGGAAATTCGAAAAGAAATGGACAAAATATAAGAGATGGTGTGGGAAATGAGAGAGAAATGTAGGTGCCGAAAGGCTGGGTAGTTGCTAAACCTTTAATTGCTATGTTTCAAAAAACTAATAATTAACTACGTCGCGATTTCAGAAAAGTTATTTTGAGAATAAAATATTTAAAGACATAAAATAAGGAATTGAGTTTTGAAGAATACTGATTGCTTTGGAGAAAAAGAGCAAACAGAAGCAGGCAAAATGCAAGTATGCAAGTCATTTCAAGTAAATAAAAATCAATTGATATATAAATTCTGTTTCGAAGGATACAATCAATCGATTACCATTTGAATATCAAAAATGTTTCGAATATCAGAAAAATCTATCGATTTCGAAGATTTTTGAATCAAAACCATAGTTTTGTATTGAGTTCGACAACTTATATCTCACTTATCGTCGAATTTTCATTTTACTGAGATGTCTGGCAAATTATTCTGTTTCGTATTGAAATTAGCAATTTTATTTTACGACAAAGATGAAAAGAAATCGTATGTTTCTAATTGAAAGAGTTGAGCTGTCATTGGGGGCATACCCTCATTATTGAAATCAAATTTTGCAGGCAGTTTAATTTTTGTCTTCTTCAGAATTGATAATTGAATTCTCGAAATTTCATATTTCTCAAATACTTTCTTTTATGAATAAAATGATCAGTTAGTTTAAATTCAGTAAATGTCAGAAGGTGAGCAACGCAACATTTGACATTTTCTGCAGCATTCAGACGCATAAGTTGATTTTTTTATTCAACCAGCAAAACTTATGAAATCCAAAATGCAATTTGAATGGCGTTTTTGCTAGCTAGGGAGTCGCATCATGTTTTTCAGCAAGTTTCATTCTTTTTCATTGAAAATCGGGCACCTACAATGTTATTGTTATTGGTGAACGGCAGAAAAGTCATATATCCGGTTCTATTTTTTGAAGGAAACAAAACATAACATTTATACTACCAAAAACTCGAAATAAACGCTGAACGGAAAAGGTGTAAAAGGTGATTTGAATCATAATTAACATTCGGACTTCTCAATGTTAATAATTCACGCTCTCATGTCTAGATGACCGATATTTCGTGACAAGAACCTGAAGATCGAATTACTAGCAACCAATGTTTCTTTTTACCCACTCAGAAGTTTAAAACATACGCACACACACACACGTCGAGTTTTTCCTCAAAGTGTCATATTCATAACTAATTCAATCGGAATGAAGAAAAAGAAAAATCATAAACTAAATTTCGAAAAAATGTTCGTTGAGCAAAATGATTGACACAGAAAATCAGAGGAAGATAAATCGAGTCATGACGATGAAATGTCACACCTCAAGATATCTTCATCTCTGTTTGTCATTTATATTGTTGAAGTATGATAATTTACTGTTAATTATTACCAACACAGCTATTATTTCTTTGGTTTGGAGCCATGATTCTACCATTATTTTTAAAAATTTACTTAATAAAACATTTCCAATAATGAGAATGTTAATGGACGTGATAAGTTGATTCATCTAAAAAAAATTAATCCTTATGTACAATGAATATAATCTAGTATAGGATTTATGTCGTTTAAATTATAATGCAGACTGTTGCCAGTAAAAAAGTTATAAAATGTTTTAAATTTGATAACTCAATAGACTTTGCAAAATGTGATACTATAATTTAATTCATGACGTCGCATTTTTTCTAGAAAATTCTATTCACTTCACTTATAACATCGTTCATCATTTTGAAAATTGCAATAAACAAAAATTTCGCCATCTTTTTCAGAGAAGAAACTTAAATATAAACTAGTTTTAGACTTATTGCTAAAAATTTCAATAATATTGTTGTTTTTCGAATCAGTTTGCATCAAAGTTGTATAGCGGAAAAAAATACTAACACACTTGAAAAGAAAAAAAAAGAGTTGGAATTACTGACACAGAAATCGGAAAATAGAAACTTCATCACTTTCGTGTACACTTAAAAAGATGCGAGTTAGTGTAGCAAAGGATAATTGAACTTTTGCCTCAGCCGATTGGCTTCATTTTCATCATCATTTACCATAAAAAATGGACTAAATGTTTCAAAATGCTTACGTTCTTCCTTAAAAAATATGTGAGAAAAAAGTCTGGAAAAAAAACTAATACGACAGCGAACAAGGGAAGTTGTTGAAAAACAAATATTCCTATCAACAAGATTAATCAGTTTTCAGATTCCTAAACTGAGATCATACGAACTGCGAAAAACAAAACAAACGTCCAATAAACGAATAAGGAGCCAACGCGGAAGGATTTCTTTGCGGAAAACACACTTCCCAACCACCTAATTATCTACAATATACGTATCGCAAAAATTGGCATTCAAAGCTCGAAAGGATGAATAATTCAAATTGGTTGAACTCAGCTAAGTTTTTTTGGTGTACAAATTTGATGAGAATGTGGTAGGCAAGATCTTCCATTTTTCTCGAATGAACGTAAAAAGAACAAAACATGAGCACTTAAAAAACCGTTGAGGGTTATAAATAGAAGAAGACCCTTCGTTATAGAGAATAATCGAGTTTTCGTTTTTTGAACGCGAACGCATATCCTATAATGAGAAGCCAGAAAGCAAGTACTAAAGACAAATTAACTCAATAAACATGAGAGGAAAGTATCTATTTAAAAATCGGAAAAAAATTTGTGAGATTATGGAAAATAGAAAAAAGGCACAATTAGTTGACCTTTGATTAGTTTGACTGATTTGTTTTCATCTATGGTGACGACATAGTGCAATTTTTACAATTCCTTTGAATATTCTTATGTGATAGTCACGGGACTGCGGATGACGCTCTCAATTGCAGTGTTGTGCTTGCAACAGAGTCTATTTACGAGTAAGGATATTTAAGTTGTGTTTTTTATTATTTTTTGTTTAGGTCTAATTCAGTTTGATTTTTGCCCCAATGCCATTAATTTTTGAATGTATTCTTTAATGTATTCTATTTTCGACGTCACCCGGGTGCGGAAAATTGGCTAGATGTCAAAAAAAAAACCATGGAAGTGGTATCGGCGAAGAAACTAAAAGTGTAGATTTACGGCCCTCTGCACAAGGACAGGTTAAAGGCGCACATGGCAAACAAAGACTTTTTTGACTACGACAATACATACATGTATATAGTTTTGCATATTTAAATACGCAAACGAAGCATAAATAAGTGTTTTACATAACTGTTAAGAATAAAATTACAGACACAACGTTTCTTCTCGAGAATATTTCAAATTTGTTCTTATTTGCCGCAGATAATATATTTTCCACAAAATAGTTTTTATAAACATTAAATTTAAAAAAAAGCATTAGTTTTATAAAAAATAAATAGAAGGTAATATTTGTTGTTAAAATAAATTTACATTTGAGCATATGTCTTACAAATTATCACCGTGTAAATTTACAATTAATATATTTTTTTCTATTTTGCGCGAAGGAAGGTCCCTCCTCTGACGAAATTTCAGATTTCTAAAAACAGTATATTGAGTAACATCTGAAAAATTGAAGTTAACTTTGACTTAAATGTTCGCGTTTTATTTTATTTTTTGAATATCATTTAATATCACATGTCTCATTTAATTATATATTCTGACCAATTTCACATTTTTAGAACACGCTACATTTTAAGAAAGCGTACATATGTAAAAATTTGCAAATACCAAATATGGATTTCACCGACATAATGTTCTATGACATTAAACAACTTGAATACAATATATGTTTTTTTATTCCGAGATAAACTTTTGCTTTTTTTGAATCGCGTGAGCAAATTTTTGAAATAGACGCCTTGGGACTCAAACAGTTCGGAGTAACCACAAAAACATTGTTTATTTCAAAATTGTTTTGCCTTTCGAATTTTGTCAAACAACAACACTTTTATATTAATTTTTGAATTAAAACGATACGTTGCAAAAAGAGACTAATCGTTTTTGCTCAAAAACAAACGAGAGCAAGGTTTCGAGCGGTAATTCTTTTTCTGACCTCATTTCAAAACTTTGAAAAATTATTTCGTTCGTAAAATGCAATTTTCTACAATCCGTTGCATAAAAATTCGAAGAGAACTAATACAGTGAAAATAGATCTTTTCCTTTATTAAATTTCAGTGTTTGTAGCAAGTTTGGTTTTGATGATTATTTTATTTTTATGTTTTTTTTAAATGTAGGTTTCTTTCTTTGCCATCACACACAGTTTTGCCGCATTGTCTGTTGAAACGATAAAATGTGACGAAAAGATCAACGGTCAAGTGCGGTACGTAGTGCCTTCAAGAAAATGTCTATTAATAAGGTATAATCGGCTTCCTGCTACTGAAATACTCGGAGAGATTTCCGTGCATGTGCCTTAGCTTTAGTCACACCTGAAATCGTATATTAAAATTTTTACGTTAACTGTTTATTTTTTTTTAATGACTATATAATTTCCTTGAATATTCAGTATTATAAATATACCCGCGTACAGCTGTCGCTCCGACTATATTAATTTATTATAACCAGTCGTGAGTTTCAAATAAAAATATTTTATTTCTACTTTCAAGACATTATTAGTGATTTACTTCACAGAACGAAAAAAGTGGCATTATTTAAAAAATTGATCCTGAATATTTTGTATTGAATTATGAGATCATGCTTATTAAATTGTTAAAAAATGACAAGTGTTTTGAATCGAATTCAGAAATAAGAAGTTTTCTGACAAGTACATGAGCTGAAAAAAACTTTCAGAAAGCATCATATGGCGGTTTAAAATATGAAGCATTAAAATCGTACACTCTAGGGCTGCTAGTTTGGTTAAAACATTTTAGATAATTTAAAAAATTATACGAAAAACGATATTTGGGAAAAACGGAATCAGGGTTGTTTGATGATGGATTTGTCGCTTATGAAAATTGACGGTAATTTAAATAAAACAAATGTAACTAACAGCAGTTACAATTCATAAAAAATATTAAGGAAGGAATATATCAATTCCAATACGAGCAAGTTCACACTGCATCAAATTCATTAACTGAAACTATTTTTACTTTTTTTACATATACATAATTCTTACCAATATATGATTTCTTCGTTTTTCTCCAAACTTGATAAATGTTGTGATAGACATGAGAATATTTGAAAACATGCACATTCCTTTGTGATATCCATGCTCGATGAGTAAATGATTACGAAGAAGATTCATTAGGTATTCTCGTTCTCTGCGCACAATTTCTCTTCCTTGTTCGGATAGCTTTAAACTGTCTGAAATGAAGATGCATTCAACTAATTTCTAACGCATTTGCGTTACCAGGAGAGAAAAGGCAGATTGCTTTGAACAAAGAAAACTCTTTAAGTGTCATATTCTGGTCAGCCATTTTCTCAATTGGAAGACAGTAAGCTTCTGCATAGTAATTTTTGAATGTTTTCCTAGAAAATGAAAATTTTATGGTGCTAAGTTAAAATTGGACACTTACAATCGCTTATCACGATTCATTTCCTTCATCTTAAAGTCCAATGCATTAATTCCATCTGGAAACGTCAACATTCCACTTTTGAAGCTGTACATGGAATAGAAAGATTGTGTAACCGAGTGAAGAACGCCACCAACGTGCTTCATTAACACTTCCTAAACAATTTTCAGATTTATCGCATTTAAAGACACTTAGAAATTTACTTGATCCATCAATGACAACTTGCGAAATGCCGAGAAAGATTTTGCAAACTCGACAATTAGGAACAAATCAGAAACCATCCAATATCTAACGGGATTCTTATTATACAATTGCACCATTTTCATTTTTTCGTTTTCTCTAGCCTAAAACAGACAAACAACTTAAATTCAAAAAAATTGATTACTTACAAACTCGGGGACTGCAAAACACATATCTTTACCCATCATCATTCCCTTCTGAAGGAGGCTGATGAGTGGCTCGTTCATATCCATTACAATTTTTCCAAATTTTCGGAGACGGAGCACTCCATCTTCTCGGTATTTCTGAATTTTGTACGATATTAATTACAAAAAAAGTTTTAGAGTCTTACAACTGCTTCGGTGGAATTGAAAATTCTAATTAGCTTATCTGATTTCGGCATTGATATTGCTAGGGCATTTTCTTGTGGTATTTCATAATTATCTTCCTCATCTTCCCCGCATGCCATCTCCATTTCTTTCTTTTTTGTTGCTGATAGTTGAATAGAGTCTTTATTCATGCCAACCCGTATGCATTTATTAAATCGGCATGAGCGACAGGCACAGCGAAAGTCTAAAATTTTCAATTACGTTAATCAATTCTACCGCATAAGCACACCTTTATTAAATTCACATCTCCCGTCTCTCGCACACACAAATTTTCTATTACTGATAATCGTACGCCGAAAAAATGTCTTGCACCCATTGCAGCTTAGTACATTATAATGAAAGCCAGTTGGCTGCAATATTGAATTAGCTAAATTATAATCTTATCAAACATACCCGATCGCCACAAACGGAGCATTTGTACTTGGTGCTCTTTCGTACATTGCGAATTTTCACAACATTAGAAGTCGAAGGGCGAGATTTATAAGGTGAAATATACTCTGGCGAATCAGTGAGGTCTGAGTTTGGAGATTGTGAGCCTACGCTCTCACGGTTCTAAAAATAAATACAACTTTATTGGAGAAATGCACAATGATTCCGAATATCGGCTTTCGTGCGAATTTAGTAATTAAGCTCATTTTGCTCTTAAATAGCAGCTTATTAAACATCTATGACTAATGAAAAATACATTTTAAAAACAAATTAAGACTAAAAATACGTCATGATAAAACATACGATATATTGAGTATTTTTAATCCAGAGAGGCTGCTGAATAGCTAAAGTATTTGTGTTCGTTGTAGAATCCAAGCACGTTCCATCGGATGCAATAGACCACATATTATCTGCCGGCTGAAATCAGATATATGTTTCCTCTAGAATTAATTAATTTTTCTAAGTAAAAGTAATGCTTTATTGTGAACGTATCTCAATTTTAAGCGAGGAAGCTCTACGGATTTATATCAATGTTCAATATCAATGCTCACATTGAGGTATGATTGCTACTTGTGCTAATTCCGACATGGCATACAAATTGAAACCGAAATTTAGAAATGAATATTGGAAAATACTTGGCATTATAAATCAATTACGTAAAAATCTGGATAACGTTTTAAGTTTTAGACTATACGTTTTAGTAAACGCTCTTATACCGATATATGTTCGATAATCGCGTGAAATAGGACAATGACAACTCACTAACACGATTGCACTTGGTAAATTTTATTTTTGTGACCACATGGCAGACAGGTTTGTGACATTCAACCATACAACAAAGAGACACTGATATAAGAAAAGCAACGTAAACAATGAATAGCTAAATAACCTGAGGGAGTTATACGAAGAAGCGTGGGCTCACACAAAATAACGTATAATTACTCGTTTTTTTTAGTTTTTGATACCGAAGAGAACATTGATTTACTAAAAATTCAGCACCGAATGTGTGCGTGAAACAGTGCGGATGGGAAGGGGGGGGTCGTAACGTCAGCAGGTCTCATTTCGAAGAGAACTACAGCGAAAGAGAAAAATTGTCAATCAAAAGGCAACAAGGCACGCGACAAATACAGAAAAATACATACTAAAAGGATAGAGGGATAGTGAAATACAATAGTCGACGCCATTTTCTTTACTTCCAAAATAACAATTTGATGTATTCGCGGTTATCAACACACCAGTTTCAATCAATAATTTAACGATAAAGGCATAAAAAACGAAAAGCGCGTCAATGTTCTTTGATATAAATAGTGGAGCACAACCCACGAGGTGTGAGAAAGTTCACCATAATCCTTTTCATAACACTCTTACAGTACTAAATTATGAATATTTAGTGCTCAGCCAAAGCTAAAAATAATATATAATCATAAAAACCTTTAATTTGAACTTTCAGCAACGTATTTATACGTACCGCGATAATCCACAAAAAAATTCATTATATTTACCCTAATAATTGTCGCCATTTAAATTTAACCTGCAACAAAATTGACTGAATGCGATGGTTTTACACGGGGAATTTGAAGAACGATAGTACTCAATTAATAAGCGTGAAATAAACACACAATTTTCGGAAATTTTGACTAAAAACAAACTTACAATAAAGAGAAACGAAGAAAGTAGAAGATCCCATGTTTTCAGTTTTCATACGATGAGATTTCTTCAGAATGTCTGTTTTTTGAAACAATTTTTGTGGATTGATTAACAACAGAAAAAATACGATATATCAATTAGGCAAACAGCCTTACTAATTTAAACGTAAAATAGCACAATGCACTCTAATTGCATTAGGATATAACGAATTTTTTAAAGATTTTTAATTACAATGATATTGTTCTGACGTCAAGAGCAAAAGAAGAAATCGTGAAAAATTGTCATTTTCACGAAAGGAGACTGTTCTCGTGTCTTGTTAATATTAATATTTCTTAAATGCAAAGTTATTTGTTTTTGATTTGCACATTAAAATTTAATTAATTATCATCGATTTATTTAAAATATAAGTTGTCCAAAACGATTTTTCAAAATGTTTCTTCTTCATGCTCTTGTTTCCCTTCGTATTTCACAAAATCTGATGAAGTGCAACAAAATTTGGAAACAAGTCGACCAGAAAATCGTAACTATACATCTTGGGTTTCCTTGACTACTTGGCAACGCGGGCGAACATTTCGTAATAGCCATTTTTTGCTTTATTTCGAATTTATATGTTTTGTATTTATTCGCACAATCCGGAATTTCTTTTTGAAAAACAAAAAAGAAATTTCAAATAATGAACCACGCATTTCCAGCCAAATGTCATCGGCAACAGTGAAACGAGCACGGGTAACTGCTAGAATAGCGGAATCAGAGGGTTTATCATTACCAACTTCTTCGGAGAAAACCCAGGAGCTGGTTAAAATTGTACACAATATTGAAACAAATTTGAAAACTTTTTGAATATTTCCAGATTGAAGAAAAACGGAAAAAATTAGACAAGAAATGTAGTGAATATGAAAAAATTTGCAAGAATATCAAAAATCATCAAAAACGAAAAGCCGGATTGGATGTTGACAAAAAATCTCTAACGGTTTGAACTTTTTATGTACTTCACAATAAGATTTTTTTTAATTTTTTCAGATAAAACTCGATGAGATAGAAGCGATAAGCAAAAAAAATAGAGAGCGGATTGAATATAATCGAACAACAGAGCGGCAGAAATATAGCGAACTCAATCAGTTGTTAAATAAATGGACTGAACTGAATAAAACTGAAGCCGACTTAGCGGAAAGTTTAAAAATCGATTCAAAAAACGCAGAAAATCTTGATGAAAAATGTAAGTTATTTTGTTTGAAACAATATTGTTTGGTGCCTTTATTTTATTTTTAAATTCAGGTCGAATAATCACTTTGCAATTGAATCAATTAGGTGACAAGATTGAATCGATTGAAAAGGAAATTTCCCAAATTGAAAATGGTTTTGAATCTGACTTAAAAACTGAACAAGTAGGTTATCCAAAACTCAACATATTTCTTTATAATTTCAAAAAAAAAACACTGCTTGCTCAATATCTTTTTGATGCCAATGATTAATAATTTCATAAGTGAATTTGAAAGAATAATTCTATAAATTACTCTTGTAATTATTGTTCAAATTCTGAGTAACTCAATATTTCATTATAATGCGAGTGCAACAATGCTGTGAAGAAATATCAGTTGTGAGACTACGTCAATTAACGCGGCATAATTCTGATAAAGTGTATGCGTTATGCTCTTGTATATTGTCGGTCTCCATTGTATCACGTTTTTTGCGTAATTCCTTAATTTAAGACATTTTATAATTATTCCATAATGAGATAAGATCAGTACTTCAACAAAACGGTGCGACAATATGAATGACAAAACCAATACCTTTACTACAAATAATTTGCAATTGTTTTTATCTTTTACTTTAGACTCTTGAAAATTACCTACGTCGGCTTGTGGAAGATGTGTTCTTGAATCAAAGACGTTTAGAGGATATTCATATTGGTGGGTTTTCCCTATTTTTTTAAATTTTTCCAAAAGATGCTTGTTCAAAATTTACCTTTGCTGCTCAAACAATAGAAGGTTTTGTTTGAAGAAGTCAAATAGAAAACACGTCACCAAACGCAAATAGATAATAGGCCAAAAACAGATTCTGAATTTGTAGTTTAGGTACTTCGCGCGGGCGTGCAAATTTCCGGCAAACCGAAAAAGAACTACGCGAACAAAAGCGGAAGCATCGAAGATTGAGCTCGCAAATTTCGGTGCAATCATCCTCATTGGTTGTTTCTTATCTTTGCTATATGCATTAATGATTATCCTAGGACGAAAATGACAGTGATAACCAGTCGATGAAACGCGATATTTTAAATCAACTAGAGGAGAAATGGCGGAATATGAGGGACGAATTCGAAGAAAAAGAGAAAGAATTAGGAAACCTTTTAGTTATGGTAAGAAATTTGAAAATTTAGGAATGTAGCCAATTTTTTCAGATGAATGATAAAAGGGAAAAATTAAAAGAAATAGAAAGATCAAATATCAACAAATCAAGATCAGCGAGCAAGAAACAAATTGCGTTGGATTATCGTGCATTGCAATCGTGCGCATTTTATTCTACATTATTTTTAATTAAAAACTGCATAGTGTAGCAAATAGAATCGAAACTGATTAAGTAATGAACTCTGAAAATTTCGAGCAACTTTTCTGTGTCATTTTTTAGTACACTGAGTCTTCATTTTCTTGGTTCATGACGTTTTGTCTTACAAGGATTTAGGAATTAAGGAAAATCCAGAAATCATCCGGATGTGTATTCAAGAATTTTTAATCTTTTTTCATAACACTTTCAACCAAATTAGAATTCTCGATAGATTTGCATTTTGTAAATATGCGAATTTTAGAGAGACTCCAATGTACGCGGCTTACACGGCTTCCACGAATTTTGGAAAAGCAATAATGGATAACATCAGTGAAGCACACACAAAAAGCAAAAGTTCCAGGGTTTCATTGAGCAATTTAAAAAACAAAAAATAGACATTTTGATTGTAGGCTTCATCAGTTCCAGTTTTTAAAGCAACACCGACACCTTATGCAGTGTCCTTAAAGGATTTTCCAAAATATACGGAACATTTGGAATCACAGAAGAATGTAATATCAAAATAATCGGATATTTTTTCATCTCGATGTAGATGAAAAAGTAACTGAAAATTTCGGAATATTGAGTTCTCTTGCCTTCAAAAAGTTGAACTTTTGCAGATTGTTCGCTCATCAGAAAATGAAGCTTATAATCATTTACGTAATGAACTCAAGGAATTAGAAGGTCTTGTGAGTGCACAACGGCAAGAAATACAAACTTTGTCCCGCCAGATCACTTGGCTGACTGAAACCATAAAAGTAAATCAAAGCTTTTTAAGAAAATTTTGAAAAAAGTTTTAGGCACGACAAATCGATACTGACATTTATACAAAAAAGTTGAATGAATTTCTGAAAAAAAATCGAAAGAAAAACGACGAGAATAATTGTTTACGTGGTCAGTCGGACAATGCTTCCAAATTGGAAAATACAGAAGTTTTCTTATTTTTTTTTATTAAAATTTTAATTGATTTTTAGCTACCTCAATCAATAAGACAACTACGAGAATTCGAAGACGAGCGAATTTTATTCGAAAATGAAAAGAAAGTTTTAACGGATCAAATTCGATCAAGAAAGCAAATAGCAGAGAAGCTTGAGCAAAATTATAAAATTATTCGAAGTTTCGCGAAAACTGTGGACAAAGACGTAATTAATCTACAGTACATTCTTTTCATTCATTCAAATTTGGTTTAGGAACTTGAAAAACTAACAAAAGAGGAAAATTATTGGAAAATGAGGGTTGATGAAATATTGAGTGAAATCCAAAAATTACAACGAATGGAGAACGAAGCGGCTCTGACTAACGGACAGTTGAGGAATAATTTAGCACTACTAAAACCATATGGTAGAAAAATTAGCAAATTCGAAAAATTCATTATTATTTTCAGAAGAGGAATATCAAGAGTTTGAAAAATTGAATGAAACTTACAAACAGATGCAACTCGAGAACAGTAGAAAGGTAAGACCTGTTAGTAATTTATTATATAACGTCATTCTTTTTAGGAAATTCGGAAAAGCTCTGAAAAGTTAATTCAGAATGGAGATATTCAAGTTATTAAATAGTTTCCATTTTAACTATCCAAATTCTTACTGATTATTTGTTCTTTAAAACCACAGACGTCTCGCCAACTTGGAAAATAAGCACTCATTCGTTTGTGTCTCCTTGCTTGTTTAAACTAGCGCTGATAAACCTGTGTCCATTTCGTAGCATAGATCAAATTCGACATCCAATAGATTGCCAATTTTTTCGCATGCTTTTTTTTTAGAATGGTATGACGTATTTATTTATAACCGCATTTTCTCTGTGCAAACACCAAAGAGAGCCGTTTCCTGGCAATTTGGCTTAACAACCCGCAATTTTTAATGTTTTGAATTCATTGGTATTAGGAAGTTTTCCACGTTTTAACTGAATTATTTTTTTGCGTCAATTGCTAAAAGATTTTGTAATCATTTATTACAAAATCCATTGATTAAAAATCATTGATTAAAAAATCACTTGTGAAAATTTGATTGAATAAAAAAACACTTTTAAAACGAGCTAACCTAATAATGAAAAGCTATATTGGTGTATTTTTAACCGATTAAGAGATCAAAGAATAAAAGTCATGATTTTTAATGTAATATTTTTGTTTTATGTCTAAACAAAATTTATACGTACTTTTGTGAATATCGTTGACCTTGCTAGGTCATATCTACAGCTCGCATCTCAACGACAGTCTACATACCAAACTTTCGTTTGCTATTTTCTTCATTTATTTTTTCTTAATTCTTTTAATGATTTGTAATTTTTTAAAAAGGATTTCACAAAGTGAATGCCTTTACGTATTCACTAAATTATATTTTTTATGTCAGCATATATTTAAATGCAATCGAACGTGTTACCATGGAACCACTTTTCCACGAATAATATTTGTGTATATTCGATTAAAAAATTTTTTCAAGGATTTTTTTTTGAAAAAAATGAAAGTATAATATTTTATAAAGATTTTCTATTTGGTGGTTTTGATTGCAATTGGAACTATTTTTCCGATTGAAATTTTAGCAACAATGTATGTTTTATTGATTGAATTTTCTGAATCGCACTTCGACGTTTTCCAGACGCAATATTAAATTCTATATTCTAAAGTTTTATTAAAAACTCGTTGTTTAAAAATATAATCACTATATACATCTTGATTGGCCTTTCTACAGAAAGGACCGACTGCGCAAACAATCTGCGTTCTTTTGACTAACGTTCAACCTTCCATTACAATATTTCTTTCCTTCTCTGTCTCGTAATGGTCGTATACTATTTTGCCTTTTGTTCTCATTCTTTTTGTAAAACAATTTTCAATAGATATGTTATATAAATAATTGATATCCTATTTTTTCGCATTATTTCAGGTTTTATATTTCATAGATATGTTCAGTTATTTTGATTGTTCATATGCAAATTTCTAGGACATTATTATTAAATCTGATTGTCTACAAAAGTTCAATTATATTTTGATCGATTTTTCGCGTATTTCATGAGAAAACTGGAAGGTTATTTTTTAAATATTGCACCTTGATTGGTGTCTATTATTGTCATTTTTTAGGAAAATTGCAGTTCAAAGAATGGCAATTATTTTACTTATAATTACAGAGAAGAAATACACATATTATAATCTAGTAAATTTTATCTCCACTTTGAATAGAGTCAAGTTCTTTGATTATTACGAAGGTAGTTACAGAAGTTCTGAAAATGAATAATATCACGTTTATTTTCATTTTACATATGATGGACTAGCTTATATATTTGCAAATCATATTTATTTTTCATTTATATTTTCCACTGCCCACCAACAAGTATATCAAAATTTATGTACTTTGGGTCCTCGCCGTTCAAAACAGTGACTCACCTTAAATTGCGGTAAATTATGTGTTTAGCGCTCCGATCGATGCCAACGCGAGGGATTATTTTTGATCACGTATACATCTTCTCATCTACCAATTGTTTCACCAATTACCAAATTTTTTTGCATAACGGAATATTGAATTTATTATGAAAATAGTAGATTTTGAAGAAATATAGGAATGTATATTGAGCTTTCAAGCTGTCCTTGGAAACACTTTTTGTAATGTTTGCATCTCATGTTTTTCATTTTAACACATTTGTTCTAATTTTGACTTGCTCTTTATCTTATCTTCAGCAAGTGCGTCATAATTTTATGTGATTTTTGCACTTCTTTATGATAAGAATTGTGACAAGTTCCTTTAATGAACCGGAATCCACAGACATAAAAACGCTTTTGAAAACATTTCAGAAATTCTACCTTGCTTATTATGGCACGAGTCACCGAAGTATCTGAACCTGCTGACGCTTCCATTTCAACTTCTTCAACATCTTCATCTTTTTGTGAAATTAAAGAGGTGGAATTTATTATTTATAATTAATCGGCTTTTTCAATCTTGGTGCGTTCAATTTTGTAGCATTTGGAAGAATACTTCCTCGTTCTGCACAATAGTCCAATTAAATTAAATTTAAACGGATCTGGTTTAATTAAGCGTAAATTGACTGTTATGCCCAAGGAAACAAAATTGCAACAATTTACGGAAAAATCTCAAAAGGTTTTGTGGAATCATTTCAAATTTTCAGATTGTAACCTTCCGCAACTTGCCGTCAAACGTGTGCCCTTCTGTTTGCTCAGTATGCGGCGATCGAGCTTCTGGATATCATTATGAGGTACTTCGTGTGTTAATTCGGCATTTTTTATTATGGTCGCAAGGAGAAAACGTTTCGAAAAATTGTCAAATCCGTAGCGGAAAAATGTTTTTTGCATTTTTTTGGAATTATGTTGTTTTATTTATGATAATGTTACAGGTGCCATCTTGCAACGGTTGCAAAACATTTTTTCGGCGAACAGTTCTTTCTCAGAGAAAATATGAATGTAAAAATGGAAACAAATGCTTCAATATTTTGCCAAAAGGTATGATATTCTAAAATTTTTAAATCATATTTGTTTCTTTTTGTAGAAAAACGATGTACCTGTCGAGCTTGCCGATTTGAAAAGTGTGTGGAAGTTGGAATGAATCCATATGGTAGGAGTATTAGTTGACTTGGTTTAAAATAGAAAATATCTACAAATTTCAGCGATTCAATCGTCTACTTCATTTGAAAGTAATACAATTGTCAGAGAAATTGTAGAGAAACGAAAAAGTTCAGAAGATATTGTCGAAGCCAAAACAGTTAAAGTAATGATAGAAGACCTTCATGATTTTAAAGAAAAAACCATTTTCATGTATTTTACAGGTTTCGTCTCTGAATATTAAACCAACGGTTGAACAAACTGTATCTAGAATGATTGATGAGCTCATATACTTAGAATTCAAGCTAGAAGCATTTCGCTTCTGCGCATTTAATCCGAAGCGCGACGATTATAAAGATTTGGAAAGTACGTTAGAAATGCAATCGTTAATATCAATAGCAGATCGTGTTGGAGTAAGTTTTTTTATTTCGTTGCCCAATAATTTGAGCACGCATTTTTCAGCCTATGCCTAATTGGCCATTAGAAAATGAACACTGTAAAGAAGAAAATCTGGATGAATTAAAGAAAAAAATAGAATGTGGTTTATTACAAGACAGGTAGTAACATTGAAATTAAATTCAAGTTTTGGCTTTTTTTTAGAAAACATTGGCTTGCATATGATGTTCTCACTACTGTGGAATATGCAAAGACTTTTCCATTTTTGCACAAATTGAACAAGCAGGACAAAATTATTTTATTAAGGGCAGTTACTTTGAAAGTTATGCACCTACATCAAGCGTTTTTCTCATATTCTCAAAAATTTGAAACTATCGTGCATCCAGATGGAACAACACCGCCTTTTTTTCGGAATAAACCGTATGAGATTTTATTTTGTTAATTTTATTCACATTGGTTTCAGAAAAGAACTTCCCCGACCCCTCCTAGATATGAATTCTACAGTTATAATGTTGCAAAGAAACAATCTGCATAAACACGAATACGTATTATTCAAAGCAATTACATTGTGCAATCCTTGTAAGTTTTTATGAATTTAACGAATTGGAGATTCACTTAATTGACTCGACCTACAATATAGAGAGCCAACAATTTTAAAAAACTTTAAACGTTACTTAGAATTTTTTCTTGAATAATAATTCAAAATTTTCTGAAAGAGAATTCATTAAAATTAGTGAAATTGCGAAAAATTTTGTGTGCTTATGTATGGCTGTTTATCGAAGGTCCGCCAAATACACTTTTTTGAATTTTGTTTATCGAGCTTTAAATTTTCTGTGCAGAAATAAATTTTCGCAGAAGTTTTGCGTATTAACCGTTTATGGGCATGTTGAATGTAAACCGTTAATAACTTATATAGTATAATTATATATTTTAATACCTTTTTTTGAAAATGCTTTTTGAATTTTTAAAAATTGCTATACAGTGTACATTTCTTAGTTCACATTTGTTTTCAAATTGAAGGCATTCTGAGAGTCCTATCATGACTTTTTAAATTATTTTCCAGCACTTACCGGTCTAAGTCAATATGCTGTTGAAATCGTAACAAAAGAAAAGGAAAAGTACACGGATGCGCTGTTTCGATATTGTATGAAAGCGCATGGTAATCACGGACCAGCACGATTTGCAGCTCTTCTGGCATTGAGCAGCGCATTAGAAAACATGCAAAAGTCACAAAAAGATTTTCACTTATTGCTTAAAATAGTTAAAAAGAGGATGTTATTCATTGCCTTATTGGAAGACGTCATGACAGATTCCGCATAACTCCTTTTCAAATTCAACCCAACTCATGATCTCACAGGATCTGTTCATTTAAGTTACGTGTAATAAGCATATGTATTAAAAAAAAACGTAACCAATAATAATGAGGTAACGTATACCAATTTGTCTTATATACTTTGTATTTTTTCAACATTTCTTTGGTATCTTTAAAATAATAAAGTATCTGTTTTAAATATTACGCTATTGTCATATGTATTATCAGGGAACCATATATTGTTATAAACAATTTTCTATGCTATACATGTGTCATTGATAAAATATTCTAATTATTTAACTTTATTGAATAGTTGAACTCCTAAAAATCGTTTAAAAAAATAGTTTAATGCACTAGCATCGCATATTCGTATGAAATTTGAAGTCGTATTGATGTTTATGACAATATATTAAAGGTCACTTTTGTTGAATGACAACTTTTTGCATTAACTTATAAGTTAGAAAAATCTAGTTAAATTTCATATGTTAACAATTGTAAGAGATTATTTTTCCACATTTTTTCGATACATAATAAATGCTAATGCATTCAGAAGTCATGAGGATTTCGTGAAAAATCTTGAAAGCTTTGATAGCATGATCAGTCTTCTAGTCCACATTACATAAAGCATGGCTCAACATAGTAGATATTCAAAAGGGATTTATAAAACATCAAATAAGTGGAAAAATGTTAGCTGTAATTTGTTTATTAATAAACAATTAATGTGAAGTATTAAAAAAATACAAAAAATAATAATAAATACAATATCATAGCATAAAGCTTCTTTCATCAAAAATAGCAAACATATTTGTCAACAAAAACTACATGAAATAACCGTATATTTTTACAAAGCTTCTCCTCTGTATCCAAATACTACTTGTTCAATAAGATAATCTCTTAGTTTCAGACGTCTTTCGTCAGCTTCTAACATTTTTTGGCCTGTAGTTATTGAATTGGTGTGGAAATGCTAAAATGTTACTTACGATGATTGGATGTAACCTTGCTGAAAAGCTCATTCAAAGCTGTAAGGCGTCCGAATCGTCCAGCAAATTTTGTTGAATCTTAACTGGCCAACAATTATAAATTCAATGCAAATGTTTATTGTACCTTGAGTCATGAGAAGAACTAAAAGATTTCTCATTGACTGCGTTTTTTTTTCATCAAGCAGAAGTTGTCCAACGGTGGATAACGAACTGGAGGGAACTACAAGACTATGTATAATTCTAGATCGTATTGTAAAAATATTTCATACCAATAGAAAAGAATAAGAGATTAAGAGCCAATGAGAGCTCATCGATAGTGAACTCTTCACGATACAAAGGATCAAGAATCGTAGTGAACATGTTTACGTACATTCGGTCAGCACCATCTCCACTGAATAAAGAAAAAACAATAAATACATCTGTTATAATAAGGAAATGAAACGTACCTTCTGTTCACTAGTTCAAACAGATCAGTTCCATCAGGAAGTGTTATCGATTTGTGTCCTTCGAAATAGCTATCTATAGCTTGAATCGCTATAGTTATTTGAAAAGCTGCAGATCGGAGAAGTTCTTCCTATAATTAATCGTGTATTATTTCATGATTTGATTTCTTTAAAACCTGATCATTAATATTGAAGCTGTCAAATCCTGGAATATTTTTAATATACTCAATGGCACATGCGAGATCAATTGTGAGCCATTCTGGTATATCTCTGTTTATCTGATGATCTTCCATTGAGCGCTATATGTAAGAAACATCTTTATTTTTTGATTTATTTTCCTGTTTATACTTCGAAATTTGACAGAACGTTGATGAATGGTTCGTGTCATAGAAATGACAACAAGGAAATGTTCAATTCCTCATACGGTACCGTAGATCTTCTGAAATAGATATGTGTTTTACTGGTCACGATCTGTCCTCAATTATTATCACACATTTCATTATCAACAGTGATGGACATTGTTTCAAAGAGAAGAGACTAAAACGTTCTTGATGTAGATGTCCTTGCACAAAACGAGTTTTGATTTGACAAATCACAAAACCAGGAAGTTGAAGACCGGATGTACTCAGTATAAGCTTGAAAACTAACCTCAATCTTCTAATGAGATGAAGACAATGACGCATCTTTGAAGTGGTATCGTTAACACACTTGATGGCACTTGATGTACTCTTAAAGCAAATATTTCAATCAAAATTTGAAAAAAAAACATAAAAAACAGCATCATGAAAATTGTTTGATTTCCTTTTAGTGCGGTTAAGATAATATATTTTTATCTCTATGTTTCCAAATTATTACATCAATAATGCGGATTTTGACAAAACACACTTATTTTTGCATGAACTTACTGGTTCGGAGATAGAGGAAATGTAGAGATCTGAGGGAAGCTTCATTTCAGAGTTGTAGACGGACGACGTAACGGCTAAAAATCGGAGTATTGAAAAGATTCAAACTTAAAAATGCAAACCTTCTCTTCGCATTCCTTGTTGCAAACACCTGTCTAAACGGCAGCTACGACATTTGATTCTTGTCCCTAAAAATATTGATTAATTTTTATCACGAAAGTATAATATTTAATTTATTCTGTATACTTCAGCACACAGTTAAGCCCCTAATTCAAACTAAAACGGTTTTGTAGTTGAACAATTCAAAGAGCAACTGGTGACCAGTTTTATTACGTAGAATGATTTTTTTTTCGAAAATATGTGAATGATCATGTTGCATACCATCCGCATACTGACTCAGGTCAGATAGACATTTTGAGTTGACGCGAATGCAACGGAAACTGCTTTTTGAGAGAATACAACGACGAAAGAACGTTTTGCATCCGTTACAGGAAGCTACCTAAAAGGAAAAATTATGTTCATTTCATTGAACCTGCACATTTGAACATACATTATAATGATATCCAGTAGCTGGACAAGAGCAAATGGCGCATGGCAGATCGAAAACTCGGCGTTCTTTCCCGGACGAAGATGAAGTTTTCTGAAAGTCCAAAGAATAAATTGTAAAACATATCAGAACTCTCTACAATATGTGTTTTTATCGGTTTAAAAAATGCCGACAATCTGGTCACAGATTTCATTTCATGATAATCAACGTTTATTCATGTAGTAATGTTTCGAACATTATAAAGCGACAAACAAGGATTTAATATCATACCGATTGTCGGAAAACATTATCCGAGCTCATTTTTGTGCAACCAAACTAAATGGAAATAACGAAGTGTAAATCATTTGATTTCTAACTGTAAAGCCCGCCCCTGTCCTGAGATTAATTGCCAAAGCCGATTGCCGTTTCTTACTCATTGAAATGAAATATTGACTCTAATCTGTTCTAGAATAGTTAAGTGCAACCTGATAGAATTGAAACGTGTATTATCTTACAATACTGGCAGATTAAGCATCACAAATTAATTTTTTCAAGTTACAGAGTGTATTTCCAATTAAATGATACATTGCAAACAAACATGGGCTTTTATTTGTAACGGCTTTCGTAGATAATCACTGCGATTTGTGGCTTTTATTAAGCTGCGAAATTAATTTTCACGAGAGATTAAAAAGTGTTCTAAAAGATTCTCTGAATATACAAAAATATCGTTTTTTGGAAAGTGATTTCGTCACCGTTTTTGTTTTGCTTGTTGTAGTTAACATTTTCATTCAAATTATAATCATACCTTTGATGGCGTGCTCGCTTTCGATAACGAAGGCGACGGAGAAGAAGTTGATGAACCAGAAGTGCTCGAAATGGCTGATGGAGAATAGATTACGAACGAATCGTTATAGCCAATAATAGGTAAGAACAGTTGTTGATTATGAATCATAAAGTAATATTTGGAATTTCGATTGATGCCAAGTTTAAAATTTCACGAATTATTAGAGCGACAAAAGTTTGGAACTGTCGGCTGACGGTCAGTATGAACCACGTATCGAGAATGCGGTGGGTGTGGCGTCAAGATGCATTTTTGGCGCCGCCTGCTGGTTTGCCTACCGAAGCGCGCACGTATCGGTTTAGATACAGTGCGGGGTGAATATTATGTGTTCGCCTGTGTGTTTATAGTTTGTTCGAACGAGCCAAAGTGCGCAACACGGCGATATAACATAATGAGATAGGAAAAGATCAAACAATAATTATGCAAGTCAATGTCGATGCGTGCGGTCATGATCGCGATTATTTTATAAAATTCTAACATTACTATACTGAGAATTGTAAAAACTAAATGTATTTTTAATTTCTTCGAAAATAATATATAAAAGAAAAGTTGACATCATTTGCAAAATATTTGCAGCACACCCTTATATAATTAAGTACTATAAAATGAAAAGTACTTTTCTTTAGTGCCGCGTCGACCTAAAGATGATTTCTCACATAATGCCATTAAGTAAAGTGCACCTGAGATCTCGATTTGATTGTTAATACATTGTATGAACACTAGCTTTTGTTACTATCAAACAAGATATTGAAGAAAACATTTTTTCCATTAATAATAGCATAATTTAGAACAATGCTGTTTCTTTTTTCCAGGAACTTTCCTATGAGAACTCCAATCTTCCGAACTCTTGGTACCATTTTTCTTTTTTGTTCACGATTCGATTCCTATCGCGCAAGCATGACGAATTCGATGACGATTTTCGTTGGAAAATGCGCTAGGATCGGAGACAAACGTCATTTGTGAATAAACGGAAGAAACGATCCGAGAGAGATAACCTGGCAGCTTTCAATTTCAATGTTTTACAAAGAGCATTTATAAAATTCGAACGAGATTAGATTGACCCATTAAGTTGGGGAAACGTTATTCGAATTCTTCAGAATTCCTCATTAAGAGTGAAACGCAAAAAGGAAGTTATTTTCGAGATAGTCGCGAAAAATGATTTGCGTCAAGCAGGAATCGCGATTAGCTGATATCAGGAGGAAGTCGGTTCTTCGGCCGGCGGGTTTCGTTAGTGATGTTAAACCAACCAAAAACAATTTTTATTTTTCCTACCGTTAGGTCGTTAAATCTACGGTGTACAAAAGTCGTCACATGAAGACGCAATATGTATTTAATTGATGGAAAAGTTTCTGTTAAATATATCTAGGTTTGCAGTAAATCATGGGTTGCAATAATTACATGGCAACCTATCAGGCTCTGAAAAATAAGACGGAAAATGAAGATGGATTATTTATTTTAAAGAATTGTCATAGTAGACAGAGAAATCAAAACTCTCATCAACACTTGGAAGAAATAGCGTTTTCGAAAATATAAATATTACGTTTTGAGTGATTAGTTTATTTCAATTTGAGTTTCAATAACTCAAAGTATGGAATGAGGATAAGTAAAAAATCATTTAATATTTAACTAAATTTTTTAATAAAAAAAAATTAAATGTACTTTCATGTAGGGCTGTAATTAAAATATGAGATGAACAACATAAAATATAGAAAAACGGTGATTTTTTTTTAACTATTTCAAATAGTTTATTTTTTTAAAATCACGTATTGCAAGTCTACGCAAAATTTTGTTGAAGTAACTAGTTAATAATTAATTTGGGCGGCATACAAGTCTTGAAGAAGTTAATTATATGTTTTTCATTTATCGTTTCTTATTTATTTTTGGCAAAATTCCTATCAATTCGTGAAGCAAAACTTTACCAATAAATATTAATATTTTGAAGAAATATAATTCAAATATAATTAGAAAATTTTAATGAAACTAATATTCATTTTGGTTTGTGAAGTGAATCAAGGTTTTTTTGATTCGGTTAGGATATCAAAGTCATTTGAAACCCGAAACGTTCGTATGAATCCGATCTTGAATTTGTCAAACTCAGTGGCCTATTTGATTTGTTAAAACCTCATCAAATTTAATTCAATTAATAGAAAATAATCACACCTTTCTACGTTTGCCAATGAGATAAATCATTTATTTATGAGAATTTATTATTTATGAGAATTTATATATTATTGTTTCGTTATTCAAGAAATATCCAGCAATTGTGCTTATGGAATTCATTGTTTCGTTTCGTTCGCAGATATCCATCGATCATTTGCTGGGTTTGAATGCAATGAAGATTTTTCGTCGTCGTGACATCATGAAGATTTTTCGTGGAAAATTTCTCTTGATTTTTTATCCCGAAAAGCAATTCGACGTCATCCCAGTTGTTTCGATCACTAACCAATCAAGATTATATATTGTAGTTCAAACACAGAAGCAAATCGTTCACGGGAATCTTTCCATTGATTTTTTAATTCTTTTCACCTATTCATTCTCAAGCGATAATATGTATACTAAAAACCCGTTATTACTGTTTAAGAAAATAAACATTTGACTTTAATTTCTATTGAAATGATATCTTTTTAATAATATCGTTTGTTTACTTATTGTGAATGTATGTTGATCCGAAAAAATCTATTTCAATACATTAAAATCTCCGAACTAGATATGCGAGGCGAAATTCAAACGGAAACTGGTAAACCAAGGCAATCGATGGGCGAGATCTTAGCCAAAAATATCCATAATTGGGCCATCAATGGTATATATCGCCAAGTCAAGAAAGTAATGAGATGTAAACGGTGGCTAGCCAATTCATTTGCATACTTGACCACCTTTTGTGTCTTGCGGTCTGAATCCAGAAGCTCGCTGTTGGAGATTTATTCTTCTTACGCACTATAAAATCTGTCGCTTAAGCAGATTTCCGATACCAAACATGGAAACTTCCGCTAAATTCAACGACATTGAAACGCAGCGCTTGAAACGTACAGCTTTTCTATCGGTCAGTTTTAGAATATTTTCTTTCATTCGCAAATGATTCTTATTGCAGGTTGCTATTTCAACGGTAATTGTATTTTGCTCAATTTTCACACTTCCCTTAATATATAGTTATGTCCAATCCATTCAAACTTATATGATCGATGAAATAGATTTTTGCAGAGTAAGACTGTAATAGAATTTAGAATAACGACAACAAATGAAGTTTTAGGCGAAGTCAAGAGATCTCTGGGTTGAAGTTGTTGCAGTGGGAACTGAAAAGAATCGCCAGAAACGTGTTGTCAAATCAGCTTCCCGAGTCAAGCGTGAATGGAATTTTGGCCAATGGCTTGATAGAAATACACAAAGTATTATACCGATATTTTCAGATCAATGCAAAATTTTAGGAGACTCTGGAAAATATGCTCCTTTACCACCAGCCATACCATCCTATGACTCCGCCGTTGAAGATTTCCAGCAACCATCATGTAATGAAACCATCAATTTTTGATTATATTTTAGTCTATAGGTTGTACATGTCAGCAAGGACCAATTGGACCGCCAGGGCCACCAGGAGATGATGGACTAGATGGGCCAGATGGGAAACCGGGATCTGACGGTGCTCCAGGAAAAAGTGGTGTTATTTTACATCCTCTTGGAACACCAATGGAACCATGCATTATTTGTCCACCCGGACCACCAGGATTTGCTGGTTTTCCAGGACAAAAAGGGCCACCAGGTCCAAGAGGTAGCCCGGGACAAGCAGGAATTGACGGTAAAAAAGGTGAACCTGGAATGCAAGGACCCCAAGGACCAACCGGAAGACCAGGACGGCCAGGACCGAAAGGGCCAAAAGGAGAAGATGGTCGAATTATTATGGTTCTCATAAAGATTAGTTTCGATGGTGATTTTTATATTTTGAAGGTTGCTGGGCCAGCTGGGCCTCCAGGACAGCCTGGGCCGATTGGAGCCCCAGGTCCACGTGGAAATCGCGGGCTTGATGGTCTTCCCGGACCTCAAGGTGCGATTGGACCACAAGGAGATCCGGGTTATCCAGGACCAGATGGAAAGATGGGGCCGAATGGAGCTCGTGGCCCACCAGGCCCAGAAGGCCCACGTGGATCATGCGATCATTGTCCACTTCCTCGCTTACCACCTGGATATTAATTTGTAATCATGTTTATTTTTCATACATGTATATATATGTATGAAAGGATGTATATGTTTTTTTGTATTCTCCAACCATAATAAACTGTGGATTTCAAACGAAAAATAAAACAGGGAACGTAAACAATATTTTGCACTTCTGTTGATTTGAAAAGTGTATAAGTCAATTATGCCCTATAAATATTATGTTGATTTACAAATGGTTATTTAACCTCTGTTTCCCAATTCGAATTTTAGACTATTGCCTCAATTCTAAATTATTCCGTTTTTTTTTTCAAAATGAATATTTTAATTATTGGAAACGGTGGACGAGAGCATGCGTTGCTTTGGAAACTACAACAATCATCAGAAGTTGGAAGTGTTTTCGTTGCTCCTGGCAATGGTGGCACAGAATTGAATGTCGGTATGTTTCAAAACCGATTTCCCGCAACCGTCGTTCCATTTTCCTACACAAAAGCTTCATGTCTCTTGCGTTCCCAATCATTCTCTCGTTTTCTCTCCTTTGTGCGATCGGATGTCAAGACATATAATTTCCACAACTTTTGGTGAATGAGGCAAAATACTGCGAGACATAAGTAAAATTTTGAATAGTTATTATTTTGCCGTTTTCGCTATAGTTTCACTTATTTCGTAAACAGTAGGAATATTCATATCACAAATTCTTCAAAATAAATAAGGGAAAGTAATTTCGCAATTATATATACATATATATGTATATACATATATTTTTTTTTAATATTTACAAATCGAAATTTCAATTGTATGCGAGAAACCATAACTATCTGAAATCTACAGATATCAGAAGTGAGGATATTGATGGCATATGCACATTCTGCACCGATCATAATATCAAATTGATAATTATTGGTCCTGAGGTACCATTGGCTAACGGAATAGTGGATGAAATAAATCAAAGACATCTGGATCTGATGGTATTTGGTCCATCCATGAAAGGAGCAATGCTTGAAGTTTCTGAAATATTGTAATGAATTGAAATCAAATCAAAATTTTAGGCCTCAAAAGTCTATGCGAAAAATTTTATGAAGCTTTGCAAAATTGAAACAGCAGATTTCGTTATTGTTTCTAATGAAGAAGAATTGGATGATTATTTCAAAAAGTTTTTCTATTATATTATCACGAATTATTTTTAATTATTTTCAGAAAAAACAAATTCAAAAATTGCGTTATAAAAGCTGATGGATTAGCTGGAGGAAAAGGAGTTTTCATTGCTAAAGATCTCGCCGACGCTAAAATTCAAGCAAAAGCAATTTTAAAGGTATTATTCAGCGACTTTCTTGCCAAAAGGCCCGTGATGTTATGGCGCACACCAGGTTGAACCACACCATGCTCACTTCTTTTGTCGAATATTCGCGCCAAACTCCCGCGAGTTTGCTCGCCTCATGCGCATCTCACGCAATTTTGAATTTATTTCTGTTTTTTTGTTATTTTCTTGGTTTTTAAAATATTTTCTTATAATGGTAATGTAGAAGGTATGATGAAAATTGAAGTATAGGATCTATTTTTAATTGTTATTATTTTATAATTACTCAAAAAATTGAAAAGTATCGCAGAAACGTTGAAAAGTAAGATGACATTTATAGCACATATAATAAACCAATAGATGTTATTTTTTAATAGTCGCTTCTAAACTTAAGAGAAAGTTATTCGGCGATGAGATCGTCTGACAGAGACACAACTTTACTTTCAATGAATTAAACATAAGTATTTGATACACATTGATGTATATTTAAAATTTATTTTCTAAAAAATCATTTGAAATTCACTTTTAAAAGGAAAATTAAAGTTTCTGTCGGATATTGAGTAACATCCAAACTACTGACCTCTCTTGATACATGATAATCTATTGATTAAACAATGTTACGTCTATCGACAAATTAATCTTATTTGTGGTTTTTTCTCTGTAAGTGTTCTATCATATAAAAGTGTTCAACTTGTTTTTCATTGTGTATGTATATGGCGAAGAATGAATATTGGAGAAATCTTCGCTGAATTCTGATGGTTGTAAATCAACAATTTAGGGAAAATTTGGAAACGCTGGCGATAAAATTGTGATCGAGGAGAAATTAGAAGGCTACGAAGTGTCTGCACTGGCCTTCTGTGATGGCAAGAGTTTTTCTCGAATGCCTTTGGTCCAGGATCACAAACGTCTTTTAAATAACGATTTGGGCCCCAATACAGGTAATATGATAATTCAGAGTTGCGCGAAAAATGTTTTAAAAAAGTTTCGAATGGTTTTTTGTTTAGATTTTGTTTTTTTTTTAATTTCGAAAAACAAAACAAATGTTTATGTGCATATATTATCGGACACATTTGGAGTATTGTTGTTTGAATATTAAAATCGCCGCATTGGGTTTCGTTTAGAAAAAAAAACTATTTCATAGATCAGAAACTGTTAGGAAATAACGGCGCAATTCAATCTATTCAAATTTTTTGTCAGCTACAATACTTCTATGACATAATCATTGTAAGCTTTAGGTGGTATGGGTGTCGTTGCTCCGATTCAAGTATCCGCCGAAATCAATGACAAGATTGACACTCTGTTTGAAAAAACATTACAAGGATTAAATGACATGGGAATTTTTTATTGTGGAATTATATATGCTGGAATTATGATTATTGAATCGGAGCCGTATCTGCTCGAGTACAATTGTCGTTTTGGAGATCCTGAAACTCAAGTTAATAAATCGTCATTATATATTAACATCACACTTTTTTAGGTTCTCATGCGCTTATTGGAATCAGATTTGTATGATGTAATCATAAGCTGTGTTAATCAGAAACTTTCTTTTTTTTTTTTAAACATTCGAAAATGGATATTCGATGGTCGTTGAAATCAGCTTATGGTGTTGTATTAGCAAGCAGTAACTACCCGAATTCAGGAGATTTCGGAGCAATTATAACAAGTAGGGCAAATACCATTTTTTTCATACACAAATTCGATGAATGGACAATACATGATTATTTGAATTAAGCAGTTTGCTTATTTTTATAGCATAGCATTAATTAAATTTCCGGCTGTTTCTTTCCTTTGACAACATCAATTTTTGAAGATGTTCCGGAAAAAGATGAAAAGACAGTGATTTTCCATGCAGGGACCAAGAAGGAACACGATAAACGTTGGTTTTGTATCATTATGTTTGAAATAATTTTTTTACAGTTGTAACAAATGGGGGAAGGATCTTCTGTATCACAGTAGTTGATAGTAATTTTAAAAGCTGTCAAGATGTGGCGAATAAAGTTGCAAACATTATTACATTCCCTGGAAAACAATTTCGAACAGATATTGGCCAGAAAATGATCGCAATGCTTTCTTGCTCACCTCTTACATCAATATCATATGCTGAAAGCGGTGTTAATGTTGAGGAAGGGAATCAGTTCGTTGATAATATCAAACAATTTGTTCAAAAAACATTACAACCTGGAACTTATCAGGTAATACTCACTCACTTACTTTATACAATTTAGTTTAGATCGGCGGATTCGGAGCAATGATTGACTTAAGAGCTTTCAATTTCTCATACCCACAATTAGTAATTGGTATGGATGGTGTCGGGACAAAAATTGAAGTTGCCACCAAATGTCAAAACTTTACCAATATTGGCTACGATGTTGTTGCAATGTGCGTGAACGATGTTCTTTGCCATTGCGCGCGACCGATTGCATTCTTAGATTATTATGTTTGCGGTAGATTAAATCGTACAGCCGCAGCGGTTGTTGTAGAATCTGTTGCCGCCGCTTGTATTGAGGCTGGGTGTTCCCTTATAGGTCATACATCGAAAATAATCAACGTCTCATCATTCATCATTTAGGTGGTGAAACGGCTGAAATGCCTGGTGTCTATAATACAGAACAGTGGGACATAGCAGGTTGCGCAATCGCTTGTCGAGAATCTCACTGGCCGACACTTCCATTAACCTCAAAAATACGTGAAGAAGATATCGTTATCGGCCTTTCTTCATCAGGCCTCCATTCCAATGGTTTTTCCCTATTGAGAACAGTAATGAAAAAGAATGGTGTAAAATACACTGACAACGTTCCTTGGGATAACAATATCACATTTGGTAGGATGATTCGAAGAAAATAAATAGTTATTACCAAGGTTTAGGTGAAATTTTATTGAGACCTACTCGAATTTATATCAAAAATGTGCTACCCCTGCTGAAAGATGGAAAAGTTCTTGCTTGTGCTCATATCACAGGCGGCGGACTTGTCGAAAATTCAATCAGAGTATTTGATAAGGACACCAAATTAAAAATTAACGTGAATTTCTACATTCGGAGGACATGGCCTAAATGAATTTTAAGATAAATTGCACAAGTTGGAAGCCGCCAGAAATTTTCCAATGGATAGCATCTGCTGGGCCTGTAAACAGCATAGAAATGCTTAAAACATTCAATTGGTAATACAATGCAAATCCATCAATTTCCTAACGTTTCAATTCAGTGGTATTGGATTAATGCTAATCGTACCGAAATCAGCTTCAAATCAAATTCTCAAGTATTTTCGAGATCTAGATGAAGCTGTTTCAGTTTTGGGAAATGTGGAATATCGAAGTGAGAAAGAATCTCAAATAAATTTAATTAACCACGAAAATCTTTTTGACTATTCAAAATATCGTAGCCAACTTCGAAAGGTCCGGGTAATGTACGCATATTTTTCGAACCGAATTAATTGTAACCCTTTGATAGGTTGCACTGCTAATATCTGGTAGAGGAACAAACATGCAAAAGTTAATCGAAAGATCGAAATGTTCAGATAGTAATTGTGAGGTATACAAATATTTTGCTACACTCTAGCATTTCAATATTCAGATTGTTGTTGTCATTTCAAATAAATCTGATGCACTGGGCCTTCAAATTGCATCTCAAATGGGTGTGGCAACTAAATTTATACCCCATACCAAAGATCGTGTGTCAGGTGAAAAGGAAGTTGTTAAAGTATGTTTATACGCCTAATGCAATCTAATTTCAATTTTAGTGTTTGAAAAGTTACAAAGCCGAGATGATTTGTTTGGCCGGTTACATGCGTATTTATCTTCAGAAGTTATTAAACATTTCCCGCAAAGAATTATTAACATACACCCTTCCTTATTACCATCGTTCAAAGGAAAAGTACAGATGTGCGACATTTTTTACTGAGTTTTTTTTTCAGGAATGTCCGCCATTCAAGATGCGCTTTCGTTTGGTGCCAAAGTCACTGGATGTACTGTTCATTTTGTTGATGTAAATGTGAAAAAAATATGAGAGTCACTACTATTCTTTAGGAATTTATTGACCATGGCGATATAATTGCTCAGCGAGCTGTTCCAATCAAGCAACGTGACACTCTGGAGACTTTGCAAAAGCGAATTCAAGAACAAGAGCATATTATTTTTCCAGAAGCCATGATTTCGGTTGCACAAAACATATTGAAAGAAGATGGCTACGATTTACTATAATTTGCAATATTGTATATTGGAAATAAATAATAATTTGTTATATATGTTTAATTTTGTTCATAATCGACATAAAAACATTAACACATAATGATTACAGCGAGAAACAATCAGGAAACCATGCACCAAATATTTCAATACACAACAGTTCATAACAACTTGAGAAAAATTTGAATACATAAATTTAAAAAATCGACTTGTACTTGTTCTAAAACGTATTAAAACCATAAAAACAATTTTTCTTAAAAAAAATTTTAGTGAAACAATTTTCTTGAGTTTAACGTTTATGCTTAGAACAAAAATAATCTCATTCTTATTAAAACGCAAATGTTTCATACTTACTTTTTGGTGATGAACAAAATAGGTGAATTTAATATGTCGCCAAATAATACACACATAATTTTACTCGGCGCGTTTACTCATTGTAGTTGCATTCCTAAAAACCAATTTTCATATTCTTTGTATGCCGTTTAAACTTAGTACATTGACAATTTCATCATGTCGTCCCATAATATAGCCCATCAAAAGTTTATTGGGCCCGTAGTTGGTTGCCATAGTGGTAGTAACAGACGCTTTACTGATGCTAGGAAAGGGGCTTGGCAGGGCACGCGGAGGTGAAATACACATTTCTGGTCGCGGTGCCCGATTTTGTAAATCAACGACCGATTGTGTATCCTGCGAGGGAAGAAGCCCCATCAACGTCATTTGCTCTCTGAAAATCGAATAATTTTAACAGTGAATTTTCAATAGGTTTTTGATAAATTGTGTTACGTCACAATAAATTTACCTCGATGGAATTGGAATGGGTCCAATACGACGCCAGTGACTTGGTGCAGTGAGCCTCAAATCTGTTATTGGTCTGAACGGTAGATGAAAGATTTTCAAAAAAAAATTTTCAACTTACGGCTTCATCCAAAGAGCGAAATCAATATCCAATATTATGTCTTCAGAAACTGGATTAAGCGTAAATAAAGTGACAGCGTCGGGATCGATTGCCGTGCCCGGAATTGGGATATCTACAATAACAGCGTGGGCATAAGGCAAAACTCCGCTTGTTGGAATCGGAATGTAGCAGCGTATTTGTTCTGCTAGTGTCTCATTGGCATTTGCCGTTGTGGGTGGCGACGGATGCGCGTTTTCTTCGTCTGGTTCTTCAGCGCGTCTTTTTGTCGCTCTTCTCGGTGATGGCGCAACGATTTCAATTTCGGGAATTTCGTCAGAACTGTAATTAGAATTTCATCTCATTCTCGACGAACTATACTACAATATCATACTCCAGCTCTTTACATAAAGATTTTGTAATATATTCATAGACATATAAAAATAATAATAATTTAAAGCATAGTCTGTTAGAACGCAATTAAGTTATTGGAAATAAAAAACAATTTAGCCAAGCAATCACGTCATGCAAAAACGTACAAGTTTTCAAACGATGTGCGATTTTCGAACGTCAGATATTTAGGGTCGAAATTAAGGGATTTGTAGTATTCCAAAAATCTGAAATAATGTGGTTTTGGCATTTTTTCCTAATAATAATTCAGTATTTCAAAATAGTCCAGTATTGAAAAGATTAGATAAAAATTACTTCTATCCGTAATTTTAGTAGATAAGGTGCATTATTCAAAACTTACTCTCTCATACTTCCCACAAATGACTGCGGAACATATGGAACTCCGCCGCTATTTCGATTCTTTTCGTTGTTGGGATCGCTCGGATCGTTCGGATTTTCGTAGCTTTGATTGGACATTATCACGTTAGACTAAAACAAACGTGTTAAAAATACGATTAAAACTAAGAAAAACGAAATATAGCCATAAACAGTGAACAAAATGGGGGAACGAAGCGTTTTATTTTAGTAGCGGAATACGTCAACGCGAATTGCGAATCGTTGGTGAAAAAAAATAAGGAAAACAGTGACGCGTTGGTTTGAAAAAATTGATTTTTTTTTAATGTGCCGCGTGGGTTTTCGCATTCCATTCAGCATCACATTTTGTCTGATTCATTTCGAAAATCTTATTCTGTCGGATAATAGTAAGACAACTAATGGATGCAATGCCATAGAGCTCATTACTGTTTTCAAAGCCAAACCAGCCAGCCTCAAATGTTACAAAAAACGTGAACATATTGGGAAGTGTGGAGAAGGGAGATAGGGATGGAAGGGCGAGCCGTGTGCGACCTCAACGATGATAATTTGATGATCAACGGCGAACGGTTTTTCGATGTGTATATATATGACCCGGCAGAATTTTTTCTGAAGACGTAGACACACATGTGACATGTTCGCGAGAGGCGGCGAATAGAAAAAATTAAGAGCATGAAATTGGGATTTTATACAGCACTATTACATAATGAAAATAAAAAAAGGAAAACTAAAAAACCATTATTTGGTGACATTGTGCAGATTGCGCAAAATACTGAGAAAAACCTTAAATATTTATCATTTGCGTTTTTTAGTTTCTTCACAAATTCTAAAAATGATGCAAGTAATTTTTAAAAACTTGAACAATCTGAAAGAATTGAAAAATCAATTCCCGAGAAAAATGCGGGGCAACCCTAAATGGTTAAGAGAGGGCGGCGCAAGGATGACGTTTTGACTGCCGTTTTACCCACAATGAAAAATCGCGACAAATGTTCGTGAATCTACGTTATGTACCGCTGTCAAATATTTCCTTCTTCAGAAATAAAAACTGGAGCATAATAATTAAAGTGTTTTCTCGTCCAAAAACCAAATGATTCGAGTATTACGGGACGCGTTTGTATTTAAAATTATCGACATTGCCAACCACCTCGCTGTTTTTTTTTATAAGCATATAAATAAACAATATAGAAATTATGAGATTTCATATTTGGGGGAGTTAGGAAGATGTGAAAAAAACTCTATTATTGTTTATTAATGGAATTGATTGATATTTCGCATCGCTTTGAAAATGGTCAAACTAAATTTACCAAAGAGAATTTCTCAGCCAACGAAGTAAAGATAAAGAATGGCAATATTTCAATTATTGATCTTATGCTAGGCAAGTGGCGGATCACTGATAAAAACCGGTTTAAATAACTTGACGTAATCCAGTTATCAAGTACTTAGTGAAAATCCAGCTTAAAAATTATACGGGTATTGCTTCTATTGAATTTAGTCTATGGTTTTAGTGCGAACAAATTCTGGGTGGTCTATCTTCACAAAAGTATTGGGTTTAGATTCATCACGTCCCCCATCGAGAGCGACAAGAAATCGTTGTACTATTGAAATGAGAAGAAGGAGATTTATTGTCAAAGACAGTGATTGTGGTAAAAAAAACCAACAAATAATTGATAAAGTTTTAAACAGTTTTTTGAACGATGCTGAATCAATCATTTTGTAACGCATTCGGTGAATTACAACGGTGTTGATGATTTGATTGCTGCTAGTTGATTACAAACAAGCCGAAGAATTGCGCACATGCGGGTAAAATTCGCGGCTCATTCCGATGAATCATCTATCAATTATCAATTAGCCTTTCTCTGACACTCTCCTATTCTCGCTGGCGAAAAATTTATTTTTCGCTGAACCCCGTAATAAATCTATTTGAAGAAACCAATAACGCGTTTAAAAATGGGTGCGGCTTTTGTGATGCCGCCTTATAAAGAAACCGCCGTTCTACTCGATTTTTATATATGTGGTATTTTTAATTTTGGTAAAATTTCCCACTCGTAAACACGTAGTTGCGGAGAATTTTTATTGTTTTTTGCCAACATTCGTTGTGATACCATATTATTGATTCTTTTAATGGTGCAGGGCGTTTCATTTTTAAGAATGTTCTTTCTTCTGAATAAAGAAGATAAACGACAGATTTATAAACAAATCACCGTATCAAGATACCCGTAAGAAAAAAACAATGAACAAATAACAAAATTAATCAGTATAGTTTCTGGGAAATATATTTTTTGCACTCCGCAGGTTTGATGTTCTTTTTTGCTTCTGCTCATCAATATGCGAAGCCAAGTTGTATTGTTTTTTGGCGTCAAACATTCTACCCATTCGTTGGTAGAGAACTCCTGGAGTAAAATGATTTCAGTTTGAATTAATAACAAACAAGCTTACCTAAATTTGAATGATACAATGCGACATCTGGTTTTAATCTGATGGCTTCTAATATATGTTTTTCGGCAATAAGATAATTTTCTTCTTGTGCGAAACAGGCTCCAATCTGCATTTGAACACTACTCTCATTTGCAACGTATTTTAATGCCAGCGGGCTGAGATGTACGACTTCGGAACACATTGATAATCGATCTAGGACAACAAAAAGATTTGTCCATGCTCTTGAATGCGTGGGATCCAAACTGAAGTAAAATTATCAAGATGAGAATGAGACACTATATTTTACTTTGTGGCATTTTTCCACGTTTCCATTGCAAGTATTTCTCGATTAGTTTTTTGATAGAGAACACCTAGATTGAATAAACAATGCGAGGATTCTGGTCGAAGTTTCAAAGAAATGGAAAACGATTTTTCGGATTCTTGAAACTTGTTCAAATTCATTTGGGTTATTCCAAGATTCATCCACGCTGCAGCAAATGTTGGGCGAAGGCGAACAGCTCTTGATAGTAGTAGCTCAGCAGTCGAACTGTCTCCATTTTTCTCTAAGATATTCCCCAAATTGTTTAGTGCTTGTTCATAGGTCGGATTCAGTTTAATCGCTTTCCAGTATTCATGTTCAGCTTCTCTCAGTTTGCCATTATCCCCCAAAACTTTAGCAAGATTGTAATGAATCTTTGCATTCGAAGGGCACACTGTGAGTCCACTAGCATACAGTGATAGTTCGTTTTTCCAATCTTCGCTTCTCTTAAGATGTTTTAATAATACATAGGTCTAAATATAATACAATTTTATTCACTAACCTTGTAAGTTTTGGATCCTGCGAGAAGAAGAATGGAGACAAAGATGACTTCCATGGATTTGAAATATTTTACGACGTTACCGTAAATTATTCCGCAAAGAATGCAAAATCCAACAGATGGAAGATACAGAACTCTTTCGGCTATCGTGAAACCAACAGTGAAGAACAAATTGGTGCACGGGAGAAATGCAAGCAATCCAAATGATGTCGCAAAAATAATTGACCTTAATGATTCCCATATTTTAATAGATCAATTTTCGAGCAATACCTTTTATTTTGAAGTCGGCTTATTATAAGCAAACTACCAATTATAATAAATGACAGAAGAGCAGGTGATAGTGCGCGTAAGTCCCATTCATTCGTTATGATTGGTATACATCCCATTGAATAATCAAAACATAATTGAGTTGGCAAAATCAGCAGGTACAAATGGTAAAGCCATATATATGAATAATTAATGCCCTGAAGCACGATTTATAATTAATTTTAACGTTCATTGATTCATACTCGCAATATTACAGAATCCAGGAACGCGGTAGGATTGTCGAGTTTGGAAAACTTTGCAGTTTCGAAATTATTAATAGCGAATCGAAGGAAACTAATGGTAATGAACCAAAAACACAATTTCAGAAGACGAAATTTTTTTGTGAATCCCGATTGCAACAGTTGCAGTGACGTGCAGATTGGCTGAAAAAAACTAATGAATCTGAGAAAATTAAAAATACCAACCATTATCATACATCCTTGCTCTTTTGAAAACGTGGACAGCAAAGATATTAAAAAAATATCGAATGTTCGTACGTCTTCGCTACTTTGTATAAACCATATTACTGAGATAAGTACAAAGAACGTCATTAAAAGTTCCGCTCTACCGGTTATATTGGCTACCTGATAATTCATATCATAAACAATATTATTTTGAAATTTAATTTTACCGCTTCTGTATGCACTGGATGCACAGCAAAAAGTGTTGCTGCTGGTAAAGCAACTTCTCCAAACTCCGTGAAAATCTCGCCAATTTTCTCTGTTAGGTGATACACCAAAAGAGAATTGGCTATATGAATGACGATGTTGACAATGTGATATCCAGTAACTCCAGAATCCACAATTCGATTTATCCTAAAAAAATTTGGTTTTCCACTTTTTAACGCAGTCCCCGTTTTATGCATTTCTTTGCCATTTTAGGTCTTACACTCATGTTATCCAATTAAAGTAGCAAAATGTTTGCCGTTGGATAAGCGCATCACCACAGTTTTGAGCAGATGGTGCAGAAACACGCGATCCAAAAATATAACGCAAAATCGAGATGCTACGAGCATGTTCCCTTTTACGAGCATTAGCTCATAATTCGAGGGTTTGCGGAATAAGTCCCTTGAGAAGATGAGTAGTGCGTTCGCGAAAGTAGGTGCGGATTGGACCCAAGAGAACTCAAATTTCGTCATATATCTTATTCGCATAATTTGCAAATTATGCAAAGATATAAAATAGCGCACAGCCCAATGGATTTTTGAAAGTATGCATTTCTTGAAGACCTATGTAAAATTTCAACGAAATTTAGTTTAATCTTAAATTTGATGTTTAATAAAGTCTTCAATCTATTTATCAGAGCTTCACATCTCGATTTCCAAGTCAGTTGTCAGAAGCGGTTTCCTTATCTCTTTAAAAGAAAAGAAACTTATTCTGCATTGAAAATAAATTTATTTTTCGAACAAAACTCGAAACAAACGGAGTTTCAGAGGAAATAAAAAATTATTAGAAAATATCTTCCAATTTTTATTGGATTTATTAATGTCATAAATTTGCTTGAAAATCCCATATCCATTTCGCCTTGTCATCCGCTTATGAAAAATGGTGATGCGCGAAAACGAACGCAGATGTTTGTCAGAAAGCGTGCAGGTGCGGCAAAATTTATGAATGTTCGTGTCGCATGCAATCCTCCCATCCTTTTGATTTGCATCGAGATGCCGCCGATTTGCCAGTTGGCACGTTTTGATGAAATGGTTTTCAAAATTAAACTCATATTGAATCAACCACCACATCTGCGCGCCGCGCGTCTCAACAAACATACATGCATATATTGCGAAAATTTTAATTTAGAGCACGCCGGATGCGCGGATTGTCAACAAAACGAGATCTTGTCAAGCAATATCAAAACCTCTTATTGGACATGCGCATCGGACAAGCAAGCACTCGATGCCAATATTCTTAATTGGTATCGTAATCCTCAATAGAGAGAGGTGCAACACGACTAGGATTTAATTGCGATGCGCCGAAGAGCAAAACATTTTCCTTGCTTTATTAGCTTCGACAGGTTCTCATAATAGACGACATTATGATTCTACTCATCGTGATACCAAAATAAAACTGATCCAATGAATATTGAATGGACTTTGATATTTTCCTCATTAGCAATTTTTTGTTAGATATACTTCATCTCGGTGCGAAAATTTGCCGAATACACAAACGGAGACATATAATACTATGATCCATTCTTAATCCATTCATTGCTTGCGTAACATCCGCCCGAAGATGAAATATGATCATCGTACAGCTTGGGACGGGTATCGTTTCCTGCGCTAATGGTTCGTGAACACATTAGAATAAAAGTGCAGATGGGAGAATACGCCGACACCAGATTGATGTCCTCTTCACACCGATTTGACATTTTTTGCGCAATTTCGAATGGCTGTTTTTGCATTAATATTGAACGCATATAAATGCTATTCGACATGACAACCTAAAAAGAGAAAACAAAAACGGAGCAACGAGCCTTTTTTCGTTATTTTTTTTGTAACTAATGTGCATCCATTTTTCGTTTGAGTCAATGAGGCATGTTTCGTTTTAAGTGTGAAAGAACAACGAAAATGTTGCCACCGAAGGATTATTGTCGCATTTCTTGGCCTTTTGTGGTCCGTCCCGACCGCCAGTTGAAGGTCGTCAAATGTAAATCCCGCTTGAAATGGCTTATATAAAAGAGTGAATAGAAATTGAAAGCATGAAAAGACGAGTTAACTTTGACGTAAAATGGTTGCTCTATTGTGAAGTTGAAAAATCGAATCATGTTTGTGACCGACTATTAAAAGGGCAAATCTTTAATCTATTCAAGTGTCGCAATCTATTCATAAGAAATTCCAAGGAACAATAGAACTGACAGGTGTAGGCATACAAAAACCGTCAGTTGCGCAATGACGACTGTCGATTATGGATGAGCAGTGAAGAAAAAAGACTACTCACCAGAATGTCAAAGTTGTCAATGGACGATAGCTTTTATGGCTATGTGGTGATTGAATAGGTGTTCCCCAAAAATCTCGAGAGAATATCTGAAATTTTTATTTTTGAATATTTGAAAAAATATTTCACATTTTCTCATTTCTTTCAGGAATTTTGGAATTATGTAAATGAGCAGAATAAATTTACATGCCATATGGGTTTCGAACATCAAAACCATGCCGAATTTATGCTCGAATTAGTTATTTCGTTTCTTTTAAATAAAAAAAAAACAAAGAAAAATGAATTCTTACCTTGATAATTGATTCCTGTCCATTAACAATGGGATTGTTAACAATTGATTCAGCATCATCAAATACGAAATCTCCATTGATTGATGGAAGAAAGGGAACGAAAGCAAATACAACAATGGCGAGGATTTTATAAATTTCGCCAGCTCCGTGATGTTTTAAAGATTCAACGAAAGCTTTTCTTGGGCTACGAAGTTTCTTCATGTTCTTATAGCATCTATAATTATTCAAAGCGTTAGTAGTGAAACCAAGAAAAAAATTGAGAAGAAGAATAACGTAAAAGATAAATTAGAAAACCAACGTGTGCCGTTGAGAACTAAACAACAAGGCAACGATCTTAGGCAAAAAATGGGCGGCGCTAGGTGAGGCTAGCTGGGGCAAGTGAGACTGAGCGGGCGCCTCATTGCTAGCAAGAAGCACAAGACCGGGTTATGTGTGTTCATGAATATTCAAGGATAATCTCAGTGTTTCTCTATGCTCAAATCTATGAATAAGGAACAGTGCTCGGTTTTTGGGCCGAATATACGAGAGGCACTTGATAAATTTCTAGGCAAAGTGAAGGGATGAGAGAAATGATTCTTCAAGAAACACTTGCGGATTCGCGTGTGCAACATTCCTCGGAATTAATTAGATTTTGTGTGCGTCGATATATTTATTTATTTTTTGTTAAACATGTTTTAAAACAAATTTTTTCAAAGAAAAGATTTTTCTATTTGGAAAAAGACACATTTTCAAAATAATGTGCGCATATGGTTTATAAAACTCAACAGATTGATCGGAAAATAGATAAATCGGAAAATACGACACTCGACAGATTAGTGGAACCACTCAGTTTGACTTTGAATGGGAAGTGCATCTACTAGTGGCTCCCCAGTGGTTAATAAACCAAATGACATGTAATTGAGGCTCGCGTATAAGGCAATCCTCTCGTATCTGATAATTAGATGTTTGTGACGGGATGATCCGAAGTCTCGCAGGTTTCCCATAAATGTGGCTATAGAAATATATTAAGTAAGAACTGCTCTTGATGTGGATCAAAACTGACGTTTTGCTTCGCTTATGCTGATGCGGCGGCATGTGAATCGCTTCCGCCGAAACTACTACAAATAAGCTACACGCGGCAAACTACTATTTCCGGACAAATGAACAAAATCTCAATAAAAATGTCCATTCGATTGTTGCAAGTCAATTTGGGTGGCATGCTTCTCATTTTTGAGATGTTGCCGCTGCACAAAACATGGAGGCATTAAGAAAACAATTTCGACATTTTTAGTGTGGTTTCAAATTTCGTCGCGCTCAAAATTGGAATCATACACATTCAGAAGCGTCGTCGTTTTATGACGCCTTCGAAACGTTTTCAGTATCCTATAAAAGTACGTCTTTGGAAGGAAAGCATTTAATTCTTGTATACGCATGAAAGAAAAGTCAACGAAATAAACGTGTGTTCTGAAAGGGAAAAAGTTCAACATTTCAGAAATTAAAATAGAAAAAAGTTTGAGTAAAAAACCTTTGTAAAAACTTATTGGTATTCATATTCCAATATGTAGTGTTGAACAATTATCAGCATTATTTATACCGTATATTCTTTTTTTCCTAAATGACCCACGTGTTATTAATTTCTGCTGCATCAATGAAATAATTAAGTAACAACGTTTATTCAAATTTTGTTGATACATATATAATCTCTACGAAACCTTTAAGAACTAATTAGGCAAAATTGTTAAAATCAGGAAACACGACCATTGAAATTTTGGAAATTCTCAATGATTTCTCTAATATTGTTCTAGTTTTTTTTTCAGTTCAACCAAATTCAGAAGGTGTGAACAGTTTTCAAAACAATTTTAAGATTTGTTGTTTACTATTGAATTTTCAAAGACAAAATTCTGCGCAAAAGTTTGTCCATGAAAGATAAAATATTTTAGGTAATAGAAGAAAGAGTAATTTGTGTTATTTTATGAAGGAACCATGCCCCAGGAGACATGGGATGAAACAAAAGAGGGGGAACAAATTGGACAAGCAATCGAGGGGGACTTAATGCAGTTAGGAACATAAGGCGGGAGCACACTTCGCGCGGTCGTAGATTGACAACGATGAAGAGGAAACAAAACAAAAAGAATTCGGTGGCAACCAACGCATTGGAATAAACAATTTTCGATGAACCTTCTCATCGAATAGTCGGCATTCGATGCGGAGATTTTAATGTTATGGGTGATCGTGGTCTGAATGCGATGTGGAAGTATTCATGTGTGGATCAGGTGGCCTTGACGAAACGGTTCGAGGAACAATGTACGAAATGTGCCAACTAACCGCTTTTTTCTTCTTTGTTGGACACCAATGTCAATTGCTACCCTCATCGCCCTGTTCGGGCCACGGTGAACAAGGTTGAGAAATGAGGAATTGTCAATTGCCGACAAAAAGAGATGTTTTTTTTTTTACGAAATTTTAACGCATTTAGTCATAGCGACCAAATTTCTTATGCCTTACGAATTTCTTAGCCAGTTGATTGTTCAACAAACTAATTAATTCGAAAATTTTAGGAAAAAATTCCAGAAAAGGCAACTTGAGTAAAATTCTTAAGTTAAAATTTTTTTACTACATATTTTAATCAGTTCTATATAATTCATTTATATAATTTTGTTTTTCTATTTCTTGACATATATATACAAAACAAGAACAGCAAATGATTGTATAATCGCATTTTTTTTCAAATTGTTCTAATTTTGTAGCTCTCTTCGGTATTCTAAAAAAACCCCAACAATGAAAATAAAGAATCAAGGTTGATAGTAAAAAAACATTAAAAAAAATTTATATATATATGTATATATATATAAATAACTTTAGAATGATTTTTGAATGAAAAAATCAAGAGAAGAAAGAAAATGGAAGAGTAAAGTGAAAATCAAATACGACAAAAATTTTGCATTAGTTGTGAATTTAAAAATCACGTTGAATGTACATGATTTCGAAATCGATGGTCTTTTTTACAGTAACCATAAAATTTTAGCAAAATTTAATCAAATGTTACAAAATTTTTATGGTGAGATTGAACTTTTATTTCCGGTTACTTTTTTTGACTAGAATATAATTTCGCAAAAAACGTTGATGTTAAATGTCAATGTTAATAAAATTTCCAATTATTTTATTGAAAATTGATTTGTTACTAAAAATGTTCTAATCCTTACTAAATTAAATTTTAAAAATTTTTTTAATGTCAGTCGAACATGATTTTATGAAATTTTTTGGTGCATTCATTAAATAATGCCTTGTTATACTCATACGAAGCCTAATTTTTTTGGATGTTATTTTCAAATTTCTAAGGTTTCAATATGTTTCATGGTTGTTGTTTAAATGACAAATTCTTTTCAAAATTTTGGAGAGCACTGCATTAAAGTTAAAGCACTCGGCATTTTGTGGAATTGTGGTTTTCTGGTGACCCCATAACAGACACATGTTTTTAATTTTCAAGAAGATTTATGAATTTCGCAACGAATTAGAATCAAACTTCATTTTAAGAGACTCCAATATACGATTGCTAAGCGAATAACCACATTTAATTGTTTTTTGAGTGTTTTAATTTTATCTGTCACGTTTCTTCCAGGCAATTCTTGGATTGTTTTAATAAACATTCGTTTTTATTTACAATCCAATCGTTCAAATTTTATTCATGTTTGAGATAAGAAACCTGAATTATAAATCATAATGCCTCAGGAATATAACTAACATTATATTACTATGTATTAATCACATATTCATTTACGTTAATTATAATATTCCGGCACGCCAAGATGTTTTTATCGTCATCGACAATCCTATCATTCACGTTTCGGGGGATGGCACTCGTGGGCCCCCCGACTAAAACGAACAGCTGCTTTTTTGTTGAGAAATCAAAGAAAAACTGGCTCACTATCTGAATTCTTGTGAATTGCAAACCACCTGACTCATAATACATTTATTTTGCAAAATCATTACTGCACCGGATATCCAATACAACTACGCGATTGACATTTTAACAATTGGAGCAGAGCCAACACTTGCTCGTTTTTCGTTATGCTTCCGTTTTTTTTTTGAATGATCGTGAGAGATAGGAAAACACTTTCTTCTCACAAAATCAAAAAACAATGACTAATTTTTGATCGCCGTCGCATTCCATTATTGAAGATTATCTACCGTAACCCGCGCTGTTATCAAAACTGGTGTGAACAATTTTTTTCGCCTTCTGCAAGTTCAAATTCCTTCGGTATCGTCATCTTCCGTTTTTTTTTTTTCTCCTTAACAAATCTTCTTTGAAGGAAATTGTTAAATTGACGCACGCCCCCTCAACGAATTTGTCGCAATTGATTCCAAGTTCAGCTATTTGCTGTACGAGGGCAGGAAACAAAATGAAATATTGTTTCGCGAACAACTTTCGCTTCATAATCGAAAACATACATACATAATTTGCGACGCCTGCGCGGCTGTACATTTTGTAAAAAAGACCTCTTGATGACACTTGAAATACAAGCTTTTCATGTTTTTATTTTAAATTGAAAAGTAATTTCACATTCTTCTCTGGAAGCTAATGCAAATAAAATTATTGCAATTAATATTGACAAATAATAACTTAATGCTATGCTATATAACTACTAATAAAAGACTTTAACACTTAAAAAATGCAAACAGTTTTTCATGATACGGTCTCTGTTTGATTTCTCAATGTGTAGACAACAAACCATGATATGACGATCTCAGAGAAATAAAAAAAACTTTGTCTATGATAATATCTTTTCCGATGTTCGTCATGCTTATTATGATATACAACTACTACAGTAATATCACAATGACAAAAAATCGATCACCCTGTGTAGATTTACGGCGAGTTTTATTCGACGGTTAGAATGTCCATAACTACATAATGTGCCCATTTTTGCGATGGTAAACATTGTAAATTCTTTAATATTGTATTTTTGAATTAATACCGTGAAATTGTTTTGTGTGTTTTCATACGGGGATATTGTTTATACATTTCTCAATTTGATAAAATTAGCTTCTCAAGACGAAGTCCTCTTTTGTAATCCGGATTTTTTTTGAAAATCCGATATGAATTCGTTATGCATTTTGTTCGAAAGCAAAAATTAAGTCAGTTAATTTTTATCCAATGGGATGTTTCAAAATGTAATGTTATGTCATCACAAATCGGCAATTTCGATTTTTTCAAGTTCTTTTTT